TTACACAACACGTCAGTCTTCCCAAGCTTCAAAGAGATCCACTGACTAGGGTGCATGGAAAGGAGACGCTTGTCCCGTGTGTGTTGCAGCTGACGCACAACGTTCATGTACAAAGCAGAAGTAAAATTCATGTGCTTTTGAAACCAATCCTTAGTCATCCTGTGTTCTGCGCCAATAGCCAGAGTGAGCACAAATATTCAAATAGCTTGGTAGAGAAGCATTATGGCATTTCAATAAATAACTGTATTAATGATTTATCCTGGTACTTGACCAATTTATAGAAGTAACGGAACGATCTACCTGCGTTTTAGCCAAACAAAAAGAACTGTAGGCAGCAGAACTGGAGGTCTGTCTTGATTTATTATAGCCCTACCTGTGTGCCTGCAAAGTGAAAACTGGGCCATTGCCTTTTTACTGCCAGCTGCATTTTTCAACCCAATAGCAGTGCGAAGGGGACATCTTTTTAAACCCCGTATACTATTAGCCCTTCTATCACAGCATATAGAGCAAACACAGCTACGTTTCCTCCCCTTTTCAGTTTTAAGAGGCAGAAGCAAGCCAAAACAAAACCGTACCAGTCTTGGCCACTGCCTCAAGACCTTCACAGCCCAATCCCTCCCAGCTGGCAGCAGAGCCAATGCCTTTGCTGGGGACAGCAGCAAGCCTCTGCCACCCCAGCGCGTTCTTCACCTTCAGCCTACGTTACACTACTAAAGAGAGGAAACCCATCTACTCCTGCCACTGAATGGCCTTCTTCAGCATTTACAGTCTCAACAGCTTTCTGTAAGAAGTATCTGAGCCAAATAAACACTTTACACCTTCAATACTAGGGCCTCTCATACTTCTCTGCACTTAAGCACCATGCACCGTTTGAAATGACAGAGGTAGGTTACCTGCACACATTATTTTGGGAAGAAAACATGATCAGCAGTGTGCAAGTAAGGGTAATATTTTGCCTGGACTGTAGCACTAACCTTCCAAAACCAGCACAGCATCTTCTAGTCATTCAACACGCTCATCCCAGCACAACAAATGGAAACGACAGCGAGGGGTCAGCTCTTGTTATCTTTGAGAAAATGAACCAGTCACGAAGAGATACACCCAAGGAAAGAGAGCAGATCTTGGCTTACAGGACCCAGGTCTCTAACATCGACTCTTGCAAGCTCCTGTTAGCCAGTCAGCGACCCTACTGAGCATCCTCACACCGAGCACAGACACACAAGGAAAGAAACGTTGCCCCTTTTTCTCAGCGACAAATTTCCCACTGACTTCAGTGCAGCCAAGATTTTACCCAAGACCCACGAAAACAGGGATACGTAGCAGTTATTGTGTCCAGAGGTAGTACAGTATAACGCCATCTTTTACATCAACTACGTCCCTGAACGTAACAACCGTAGACATTAATTGCTCCTCGATCCCCACACGCAGCACCAAAAACCAAAGGATTACTTACACATTCACTTGTAAGCGTACCAAAAATGGGGAGATGGAAAGCGACTTCTTAACTTATCACAGTTGCAGTGGCAGAAACAAGCCCATTTTCTAATCAGACTAAAATTACTGACGCACCTGAAGAGCTTTCCTCTTCCACAGCCATACACAGAGGTCCCAACTCGACCAAGAAAGGCACTGAAGCTGCGTTGAGAAGTGCCGAACAGCCGGCAGCCCCTTTCTTTCAGAGGATTACTTGCTGCTCTCCAGCAGCGTTAACCTCAATCAAGTCAGATTCTACAGAAATCACTTAAATACAGACAAGCATTTTAAAATCCTTCAGCAAAGAAGAATATGTTTGTAAATAGACAACTGCAACTAATTTCAAGTAATCCCAAACCTCAAGTTACTGAGAGCCAGTGGACTCTAAACTCAAGCCTTTAAAACGAGGAGCTGGATTAGTACAGTAAGAACATCCACCTGCGGGGTAGGAAATCGAGCGATATTTTGCAAAGCTTTTTTTTGCCCGTTAAAAATAACAATCATAATTTTGCTTTTCTTCAAAAGCGAGCCCAAGATGAACTCACAACTTGCTTTTGGCCGGTCCTGAAAGTTACGCGCGTGCTTTACGAGGGAAAAGAAACCAACGCGCCCCCAACACCACGAGCCGATAAAGCTCGAAAAGCCAGCTTTAGCATCACACTCGCTGCTGAAATTTGCTGAAATTAAGGGAAGGGGGGGGAAGGAAGAAGCCAAAAAATAAAAAAATAAACCAAAAAGCCTCGTTCGCTTCCTGCGCGATCGCACGGCGCGGGGAAACCTCAGCCCCGGGAGGCACCGCGGGGCCGCTCCTCACCTTCCATGCTCCGGTCCCCGCCGCTCCCGGCTCCCGGTGTGATGGGGCGGGGGGGGGGAGAAGCAGCCCCGGCGGCCTCGCCCCCTGCCGCCGCCCGCGGGCACCGCCACATCCGCCCCGGGGCTCGGCGGACCGAGAGCGGCGCCGGGCGGCGGGGAGCGGAGCCGCCGCGCATCCCCCCCCCGGTCCCCTGGGGTTGGGTCCTCGGGTGCGGGGATCCCCCTGGTTTGGGGGGTCTGGGGGTGGTTGGGGGCACCGCGATGCTCTGCTGTGCAGGGATGCGTCCCTCTGCCCTTCGGGAAGGGATGTGCTTTGCTGCACCATTGGAGGTGGTTGCACTGGTGATGGAGCCGTGGCAGGAGCATACCGGCAGGATGGGGGCCAAGGAGAAAGGTGCCAACCTAAAAAGGGTGACGCTTCTCAGGCGTGTGCCTGTGATCACAGCCGAGGCAGCCGGAGGCTCCCACAGCTCCCCAGCCACCCATCCCATCTCAAGCTACCCAACATCTGCCTCCAACTCGCATCCCCATCTGCAAATCACTCGAACAAGGCCACGCTGCTTCCTCCTGCGACGGGGGAAGCCATTTGACATCCCCTCCTGCTGAAACGCCACCAGAGAGATCAGCAGAGCTGTCACCTGCTGTGGAAAGCCCTCAAAAGCACTGCCTAGGAGCTTAGCATTCCATGGAGCTTTGTCTTCACGGTCTGCAGCAAGCACCAACACCCAAAACACTGCAGGAAAACTGCTTGTGATTACTTGGTCTAGGTCATCCAAAGGACAATAGTTATTCATACGTAGAGTTTAATAGGGTGCCATGGAGCTGCTTCACGTTGGCAGACTTCTGACTCATTTCACAGAGCAGGGCAAAGCAGTCTGAGACTTTATTAGAACTGGTGTGGCAACTGCATGCTGTGTGATGCCCACACACATGAAAGAGTAACTTCTCCATGTAGTTTCCTTTGTGTGTAGCTTGGCCTGTTTCTGTTTACACACTGTGTAAGCATGGCAATGAGCTCTCAAAACTGTTAAACAAATGCTGCTTTCTTTACATTGCTTGCTAATGGATTGAACTCTTCAGACTATATATTAAAGCTTATACGAGAGAAGATTAATGATTTTGCAACTTGATTGGCTTTTAAACAGCAGTGCTATTGCATTAAGAAAAAACAGCTAACAAAAATTTTGCTTTAGTAAACTAAAGCAAAGATAGATTCCCTTCAAAGTACCCAGGGGATTGTTAAGTTACCATTCTTGCACACCTAATACCGAAGTCTGAAAGGAGGCTCACTCCGCACAAGGAAGTTTGAGGTGTGCCAGGCCAATGTAGCATTCACTTCATGTGCAAGCTAAGCAAGAGTCATGGCATTTTGATTCAGCAAAAGCCCGGGGTTATTACCAAGAAAAGGCCTCGAGATAATAGCTGGCCTAGATAGCAACTCAGAACATCAGTGCAAGGTAGTTAGTACCTGGCATGCTTTGACATCAACACAGTTCGTGTTTGCAGCTTCAAACTCTGAGCCAAAGAGACAGCAGAGAGTGAAAAAGGAAAATAAAAAAAAAAAAACTCAAAATACTGCAGATAGCAGGCTCGCTGATGGCTTTCAGTATGACTAAGGCAGGTGTACTTCTGGACCCTTGGAGTTATTGCTGCATCTATTTACTACAGTTTTCTACTTACTTTGTCACCATTGTGCTTTTTGTAAAAAGAAAAAGAAAAAACACCATCTCAGCTGTATTTTGAAACTGAGATATGAGTGTTTGGAGGTAACAAAACTGATGAAGGCTTAATGAATTTTATTCCCTTACTACATATGTTTTCCACAAAGGGGTCCAGAAATCAGAAATAATACTAATGCAACTGGAGGATTTAGATGTTAATGAAGTGGCAAGTGAGATGGTGAACCAGCCTGATTGCTTGGAAGATACAGAAACCGAGTGTGAATGCAAATTACCATAGCTCTGGTGTGTGATAATTAGGCAGAGACAAGATTCTCTCACTTTGCATTGCAGCAAGGACTGCTTCTTAAATTGGTGCTCCTCCAACACTTCTAAAAAACGCCTGGAAAAGCAACGATAAAAAAGTCATCTGGAATAACCAAGCCCTGTTCTCTATTATTGCAGACAACCCTGCATTCCCCTTCCAGAAGTAGCCATGCCTGTTTAAGGTTTCTTGCTCCCTTAAGTTGCATGCAGGCCCTAGGATCTACTGCTTTGATGATCAGGAGCCTGATCTTCCACCTTAAAGATTAGAGACAAAATTTGTGATCTGTGTCTCAGAAAAACATCTCTTCAGAGCTCCACACAGGTCTTCCAGATGACCCTGTACTCCTAGAAATCTCTCTACATGCTTCCTGGGATAAAGTATTTGCCTTTTTAATGAGCAAATACCTATCCTCACCATGAATAAGTTTATAATAAATATTTTCCCCCCTTTTCTAACATTATCTTCCCCCTAGGCAGGGAGGAAGCAACTATTAGCACAAATACCAGGTAACAAATACGTGGACTTCACATTCAGTCCTATCAAATCTGTCTCTACCATTACCATGTCCTTCAAGCTAACTTTGCTTTGTTTTTCCTGAGGTTTACAAACCTGTAAAGGCAATTTATCAGTCTGACTTAGAAATATCAGACCTGAAAGGAATGACTCATTTGACTGAAGATTCAGACCAGGAGCCTAAGTTTATAAAGATTGAAGAATGCAGAAAATTCTTCATAGTAAAGATACTCCTTTATTGTTAACAATAGTTAACAAGCCAGGTAGCGAAAGGCTGTGTAGGACAGTTACATGACAGTAGGGTAAAAACATCCTTAGGAAGAGAGGATGTTCAGACGAAAATAGGACTAGCTCATAGCAGACACGTTAAAAACTGAATCATTGTGCTTATACAGCACAAGCATGAAATGTTAACTTTGAGTAAAACTGAAAACATTCAACACACGGGAACGTTGGATCTTTTGAGGTGGTCCTAGCTATAAACTATTCAGCAGCTCAAGGAAATTAAGAATGAAAACCCTGACATAGTTATTATACCTTAAAGAACCAGCTGAGAGTTCATGTGTCGGTCTAATGAAGAGCAAAGCACAGTCACTCCCCTTCAAAGAGAGAAGTGAAATGGTGAAGCAGGGCATGCATTTAGTAGGGCAAGAAGCCTTGCTAGACATGAAGTGAAGGGGACGCTATTTTCAAGTAACACCAGGCTTGAGAAAAAGTATTTTCGATTCATAATTTGAGATTTTTTTTCCCACATTTTCATGTTTTAATAAATGAAATTTGTAACTTGAATGCTTTTCTACACAAAAACATTAAATCAAACTTTTACAGCTATCTGTAAAAATAGCTATAATTCCTGTGTTGGCTGGTTCCTTATTTGTTAGGCAAATACTGTTACATCATTTTCAGACACTGGCATGATCAGGGGCTGCACCACAAGTGTAATTTAGCTAATTACCAAAGGCTTGGCCACAGTTCCTGATCTTAAGCATCTCACGCTGTGCAGTGAGGTCTAATGCAGGCACCCTCCTCACCCTAGCAGGGCTATTCCCCAAATGTTTTTACATGCATTCAAGAAACTCAGCATTTCTACTTCTAGTTCAGAAGTCATAAGCAAGCCTTACAAAACACGTAACTGACTCTGAAAACCACCACGTACTTCAATAATATGCCATCCGGCTGTTTTTGAGCCAACAGGATATGCCCAGCTCTTATTTTCAGTCTTTCTCACAGCGACTGGCAGGAATATTTTTTGCTTTTAAGCTGAAAGCAGACGTCCCACAATGACTCGCTCCAGAAACCAGCAGGTGAAGGCGGCCCTGGCATGCAAGCCGTGCCGTTAGCTCCTCGGGGCTGGCAGCGCTGGAACCGCACGTGGAGCAGGAGATGGCAGCCAGGGCGCCCCTGCGGTTACGGGGCCGACCACAGCCAGGCCTGAACCTGTTCCCCCCACATAGTTTCCTATCGTAGCCCACACAGCTGGAAACACCACCTTGAGTCAAAAATAAATTTTGCTGCATGCAGTGGAAGGGCGACGCGGTGGCTTCTCCCAGGAGGGGGGGGCGGCTGGCACCCAGGGAGCAGCGCTGTCCTTTGCCTCCGAGCACCCCGCAGGCTTTAGGGGTGCCTGTGAAGCGAACAGAAAAAAAAAAGGCAACAAAACAACCCAAAAAGCGCAGGGTGTGGGTGGGGAAGGAAAGAGGCAGCTGCGTGTGGGGCTGGGGACCCCACCTTCCTGTCAGGAGGCTCTGCAGAAGCGAGCGGCGGCCCTGAGGAGAGGAAAGGGCGGGGGGCAGGCGGGAAGGGGCCGTTGGCACCCCCCCGGCCGTTGGCCTCACGGGGCGGCCGTTGGTGCGGGGGCGGCATGGCGGGGGGCGGCGGGAGGCCGTGCTCCCCCCCACGAGGCCTCCTGGGGATGGCGGCGGTGGTGGTGGTGATGGCGGCAGCAGGAGGCTGGGGTGCCCTGGTTGGAGGTACCAAAAGGCCCGCAGCGGTGGGCCCACCCCAGGCATGGTTCTCCTCAGGGGGCTGCTGCGGGGCCCGGTGGTACCAAGGGGTGGGGGCAGCGCTGCTGGGTGAGGGGGCTGTGCTGGCCTGCAGGACCGACCTTCGGCGCTTGATAAAAGCCGTGAGGTGGTGGTGGGGGTAGCAGCGCCATTTCAACCCCTCAGCCTTACTCCAGGCAGGCAGCGGTCAAGCAGGGCTGTCCTGGTCTGCCATCGAAGCCCGAAAGAGCCTCAGCAGCCAGGAGGAGTGCTAGGAATACTGCCATAGCGGGCTGGGGGCGTCTCACACACAACCCCTCATGCTCAGGCATCCAGCTGCTGTTTCCCAAAAGGCAGAAGCTCACAGATGCTTGAAAACCCAAACACCCACCCACAGGCACCACGTTGCACCCCTCCTGCTTCCCAAGGCTCTCACGGGGCTGTTGCAAAGAGCCTTAGCTTTCTGGTGGGATTTTTATAGCTTCTTGTTGTTGTTGTTGTTGAAGTGAAAGGCTCAGCTAGCCCAGAACACTGTATTAAAACAGATCCACAGCCTGGGCACTAAAGCAACAGAAAGTGGCAAGCCAGCAACAAGTGGGAGTCATGTTTTGGAAGGGGAAAGAATAGAAGCAGCAGGAACTTGCTAGGACAAAATGAATGGCACAGAATCATGCATTTAGATTTCGCCGTATAATATTCTAAGTTCTTTTCCCCACAGCAAGCGCTGTACCTGAAGACGAGCTACGTTCTGTTGGCTTAATTCAAAATAATTACATTTATGCTGACATCAAACGTGAAGGTAAATTTGTCAGATTATAAAATACATTTAAGTCTTACTAGACCTTTGAAATGCCATTTAAGTACAGTGATCATTATGTAAACAATGCTATGCATGGAAGTGGTGCAACCAGGCTTAGCTAAGCACACTGCTGGAGGCTCCGGAATATGGTTCTGACGGCACACATCAGCAAGAGGGTGCAGGCTGAGAAATACACCTGGCCTGTGGTGCACTCGTGGAAGATGTCATGTCTAAACAAGAGTTGCCTGCTCAGCTCCTCAAACCCAAGCTCAAAACCTGGTGCTGGGACCCTGCAGCTCGGTCTGGTGGTTTCTGCTACCCGCAGTCAGCACCCACTGCCCCGTGGACAGTTCCAGCTGTTAATAGCAGCAAGCAGAGACACGACCAGCCTCCTTCTCGTTAGTCCCAACGGGAAAAATTAGCTTAACATTACACCAAGTATAGGTTTGAAGTACTTTGTCATTTCATGTCTTTTACCTTATTCTCTTGTGTTGCAGTTAACGTGTATGTTAAAGTATTTACAGATAGCCCACTTCTGGTATGCATGGATTTGTCTCTTTCTCAAGAAGAAATAATAGATCCCAAGTATTTGTGGATCGGTCCAGATGGAAAAAATTTAGAAGGTTAGTTACTTTTTTTTCTGACTACAAAGAATTTCCACTCTTCCTGCCTTCACCATTTTTTTCCAAGTCACCAATAGAATAGGCTTTTTACAGCACTTCTACTCAAACTTACAAACAGCCCCTGCCTCTTGGGGGTGGGGTCAGAAATCAGGAAAATATGCTGAGATAGAAAACTAATTTTTCTATTTACAAGGGGAAAAGTTGACCTCAAATAGCTAAATAAGTTACCGCACATGAAATCACGTATTTTCCTCGTTTCTGTTGATGCTACCGTGCAGTAGTGTGGTGGGTCCAAACAGTCACATGGCCCTTTATCAGATTTTTCCACAAACTCCGACAGACTACGTTTCCTTTCTCCCTCTAAAACTATAAAATGCTTGAGATAAAAGCCAACTTGCAGCAAGTCTAAGAGGTCAAATTTTAGACTGTTTCAGACTAACACAAATCAGTGTGCCATTATGCACTAAAAGCCTCATCTTTCAGTGTTTTAAATGAGCAGAGCATCAGAAACCAAGTATTTCCAGTGATCAACTATTTCCTGTTTCTATTCTAGGGCAAACATATGCGAATCTTACAGAAACTGGAAAGTTGATGCTGATGGGTTTTAAGGAGTCCATGTCTGGAGCTTACACTTGCACTCTTTCTCACAGAATCATAGAAACTATGACACAAGAAGAAGTAGACGTGTTTGAGACATACAAGTTTATGTTATACGGTAAGATTACTTGCTTACTAGTAAGCTAATGCACGCAGCCTTTGCAGTTTGGTGTGTTTGTAATAGGCATGTTTATTTCAAGGCTTGATAGAAATTGTTAACAATCTATGCCAGAAGAGAAATGTGTATATAGATAGTCAAATATCCTTCCAGCTTGGGAAAAAGTTTAAATGACTGCTATCAAGAACATATGACAACTCAAAGAATAAAATAACCCCTACCTTCAACAAGAAACAAGTGAACTACGGTAATTCCAGTGTTACCCAAGATCTGAAAAGAAAGCTCAGGTCTGAGTGCAGTCTCCTACAAGAGAGATTACCATACTGAGCCTAATGCCAATGCAGAATGAGGCTGAGCAGTACACTCAAGCCTTCCTCCACCCTTTGTAACCACTGCTCACCAACATCGCCTCTCCACCCACAAAATAACGTCTCCGAAATGCTCAAAACACTAACCTTTTTCAATCATTTTTAAAACATTCCCTCCCACACCTTAGCTGCATAGTGTTTTTGCATCAGCCCAATCCGTTTCAGTAACACGGCTTCATAGTAAAATAAATACAGAACTAGCGTATCTATTTGCTCCTTTTTTGTTTCAATGTGTAGGAGCAGAGCCTCATAACACAAGCACGGATTCCTGTATATTTCAGACTAAAATGTCTCTTACTCTTTGAGTCAGCTACAACAAGGATAAGTTTGTTCTGATTTGGTTAATGAGTGAACTATTTACTTGTTTACTTTTGAATAAGTGCCTGCATTTCTGATACAAAGTACCCTGATATAGAAGATAAGGCACTGTACAAGATTGAGTGATTACACTGCTGAACTCATACACAAACTATTTTCTTAAAAGCATACAGGGAAGCTGACCATGCATACCAGATATCTGTTCGCTTTACTACAAAGGGATGTGAGCTAGCAGCCAATGCCCAGTTCTTTGAGGAACTGAAGAAAATCTTAGACAACTTAATTTCTGATCTGACATGCCACATCATAGAGTCATCGTACAAATGCCATTCCATCAAGACACCAAACCAAGGCCTCCTGCATGAGCTCTTTGTTACTTTTCAAGGTAACATATTTCAGTGTTTGTTTGGGAGCGATCATTTCTATTCATAAATAACCTGGATGTCCTATAAACATCTGAAAAATATTAAAATCAAGCATACCTGCAGAAGTCACTGCCCTTTATTTGTGATCCCTGTATTTTTTCTTACCAACCCACAGATGGAGCTAAAATGCAGTTCATATGCTGAATGCATGGTACTGTACTTACAGCCTTAGCAAGAAACAATCCTTTTCAAGGAGTTCGGTTTGAAACAGTTATCGAAAGGAGACAATTGAAGAGATACGATTTTTCGCTAATATAATTGTAAAAGGAAAATGGCCTATTGTTTTTCATTATTTGATTTTTAATAAGCCTGTGACCTATGTGGTTTTGCTTGATTCTAGGAAACTGCACAGAAGTAAAAAGCCAGAGCTTCACAGTTCCCTTATGGTAATACTGATGTGGCTGTATTGCCTTGCAAAAGAGGTTAAATCAGCCCTGATGGCTGCCCTAACTTAGATGTTTTTATCACCAAGTAAAGGAAATTATTCAGTAGTGCTTTGACCATATTTTCTCCCGTATCTGTTCTCATCACGTGCCAGGCAGAACCACCCAACAAGTTATGGAACAGTTTGGTGGCTGTTTTCCCCTTGGCAAAATCCAGGGGTGCTTAGAACGAAGCAGGGACCCAAAGCTTTGAAGTTTTCCTGCAACTTCGGTCCTCTCTGTACTGAGTGAGGGTGCTATGTGAGAGTTTAGTTCCTTTCTCCTCACATCTCAGCATGCTTCCCCCCCTGTTATTTTATTGGTTGACTTCTGACTCTTACTGGAAGAGCACAATTTAAGTAACTGGTAGAAACCACCAGGACCATCCCCCTCCGTTTTGTCAGTGACTCATTTTTCAGAATTCAAGTACACCAAGTAAAAACCTTTTTTGAAACACTATCTTGACTAGAGATGGTGACAAAAATAATCACCATTCTCCACAAATTAGAAAGGATGAAACATAAAATGCTGAAGCATTCAGTGAAGAAATTTGTTGTGTTTTTTGTTTTTTTTTTTTCCCTCCCTAAAATGAACCTGAAGATAGCTGCTGTAAGTTCACTAATACATCCTTAAATACAGATGTGAATGTGTATCTCTTTTCCCCACCAATAGTTAATCCTTTTGCACCCGGATGGGAAGAAGTTTGCCAACAGGTTCCTTATGACTGTGAAGATGCAACAAACATGAAAGTCCAAGAGGTTCTGTGTCAGCCACCCTTGTCTTCTTCGCATGTTTAACACAAATTCCTGCCTTAGCATCTACAGATTTGACTGGTAGTAATCCAGCTTCCCCCAGATTTTATGGGATTAATATCACTGTAAGAGATGATTCATAGAGCTCAGATAATTAAATTCAGAATGGAAAATTGTTTTAAAGGTCAAATTTATCCACACCAAAAAAAAAAAAAAGCCAGACCTACTGTTCCCATTATACTACCTCAAAAATAAGGAATCAAATATAAACATTTATGTTAGTACACTAAACTTCCAGAGCTTTAAATTAAATCTTTGAGTTATGACTCAGTAAAGGGAATATAATTTAAAATAAACCTACTGTAGCCAGTTTCTGAAATATGTTATCTCTGGCTTCTTAATGCTAGTATATACTATTGTATCCTGCACTGCTCTGATCCCAGGCCCTCTGAAGCCAAAGGAAAATTCCCAGTCAAGGTGACAGCCTGGGGAGGAGAGGGGAACGACAATACCATGAGGTATTTACTGACACTGTTAATCAAAACCGTGACTATTTTCTTTATTCTTCCAATGTTTCTGAATTCCAGGCAAGAAATCGGATCGGAGAGTTTTTCAGTAGGCAGACATACGCTTTGAAGCACGAGTTTCAAACTGCCCCTACAATCCACTACGTGGACAACAGCTTCTCGGTTACCCACGTTGACAGCTGTCGACCAGGTTTTGGGAAAAATGATATCACCCACCAGAACTGTGCTGGCTGCTGTGGTAAATAAAAACGCTTTATTTATGTATTGCATGGTAGTCCTGATCACAGCCCTCTGTAAAGTATTTGGTAAACATCAGTGTCAGAAGTCAGGATATTTCCATTCGCCTTTTAGGAAGGCATCCCTCCCCATCAGATTTTTTTATTTTATTTTATTTTTTTTTAAGAAATGCCATGTGGAAGAGAGAGCTGGCAGTGTTTGCAATGGTTGTTAGCACAGTCAGTAGATAAAACTATTTCCAAACAGAGTAAATGGAAGCAGTGAAGTGTTCCTTCTTCCAGGCCAGTGGTCAGTGACAACACTCAGGATATTGGGCAAATAAAAAACAATTACCTTCACGGTAGCAGGGCTATAAAACCCTCAGCTGCACCACTGCTGGTCCTGGGGGCGCAGGGAGCTGGGAAAGGGCTGGCTCTGCCTGCAGCACCAGCAGCTGACGGGCTGGCCCCAGCTGAGGCAGAGGGGAGCTGACAAACTTTGTTCTCTTTGCAGTGGTTTGTGAGCCTGGAACATACAGTCCGAACAACGAAGTCATCTGCCACGTATGTACCAGGCCTCACATCAAGAAGTACGGAGCAAAGTTTTGCTAATAAATATACAACGGGAACTGGAAAACTGAAGAGAAGCTATGAAAGCACTTTTTTTTTTTTTTTGTGATGTACTTTTCATTTTTAGCTACCAGTTCTGGAATCCTACATTATTTTTTGAATGAAAGCCAAACTTCCTCATCCACGCACCCCAACATTTTGTATCTTCAGGGAACACTTATAAAAGTGATGCATAAAATGAAGCACTCATGCAACATAAAGTAACTTTAAAAAAAAAAAAAAAGGAGGTGGTTTGTCACATGGCTGTGGGTGCAAGGAGTCCATTTCTTGGTGGTGACACCAGACAAGCCTCAGCTTTTCGCTGCAGTTTACCCAGAGATCATTAAGGAGCTACAACCAACTCAGGGAGAGGTGGCAGAGCTGCAGTGGAGTTACGAACCATAGTGACATGTGCCAGAATCTGTGTTAATAATACCTGGGAGAAATTACTCAGAAGTACTAAGTATTTAATCCATGATTTAAAAACATAAATGCTCTTTTCTTCTATATTTTGCTGTTTCTTTCTTTGTGTCCAAGATGCTGCAGCTTGCCCAGCACAGAGCCAGTTGATGTGCTGGGAGCAGCCACGGCTCCACTCAGGGCTTTCCGTGCTGCAGCCGCCAGTGGGAGCTCTGCTAACGAGCAGACACCAGGAGCACGGAGTGAGATCGTGTCCCTCAAACCATGGGGTTACCACCAAGTCCTGCAGCCTGGCCAGATGCAAGGATGCTGCTTTTGAGGCTTACCTCGCCCACATCTCATGGAGGGAAGCAGGGAGGCTGCTGAGCCTTCTCTGCCTGTTTGCTGCTGCATCCTCTCCTCCGTTGAGCAAACACGAGCGGAACAGCTCTGCTGGCCCCAGGAGCGTGTTGGACAGGATTATCCACCCCCTTACTGCAGCTGTAAGCTCCCGAGTTCACTAGGTCAGTAACAAGTCGAGATATAAATTGCCAAACACTGACATAACAGGAAAGCTCTCTTCCCAGAAGAGACTTACTCTGATCTGCTCCTGAAGGTTGGCTGCCGTAGCTGCAGCAGTCAATTACTTTGCTCACAAAGCAGCATCGCCAAAAATTCGGTTTCGCTGCTTTCAAGAGCATCGTGAGTAACGCTGCCACCTTACTCATCCCTTCTGAGCCACGGCGGAGTTACAAGAACAGGTTTTTACAACTCGTCTTTAAGCTTTGTAAGCTGCTCCCTGCCAGAGCTGTTGCCTTCCAGGCTCCTTGGTCACTCTGTCAAGGGGCACGAGAACTCCCCCTCTCTCCCCCCTCACTCCAGGGGCAGCCAAACAACCAGCACAGCCCCATTTGAGGCCGCCTGTGCACAGGGGTTGCAGCCCCCCAGGACCAGACTGACGGGGACCCTGCACCCCACTGCCTGTGCATGCACACACCCAGCCCCATAAAGCCCTGTCTGGCTTCCCACGGAGCAATTCCTCTCCTTTTTGCACTGTGCAGTAGGAAGTCAAGCAAAAGAACACCTCCCGCTCTGTAACAGCAACTTCTTATGGCATCTAGAAATTCCTTGGTGGGTACTCATCCAAAAATCGACCAGATTCAACCCAGTTAAACTTATCCATTTTGACAGCAACACAGCAGGAGACGGCACGGGCACAGACCACGCTCCGAGCTTTTCAGAATCATTACTTATTAAATACTGACGAATAAAATGTACTGTAACGAGCATTTAAACTGCCTGTAGGCTGATTATCTCAGCCGCCAACTGGACACTGTGTGCACCGCTCAGGCTTATACAGATTAAGCAGAAGGGCTCTGCGACTGTTCCCTGTGTTCCTCGGCCTATTTCACAACAGAGCATCTCACAGAGGAATGCCACATACATAAATTATTATGGGAAAAAAAAAAAAAAGCAGTAAGTAGGCAGGCACGGAGCGTAATGGCTAGTGAGTCACAAATGAACACTTGCTGCCTCCTCCCTCTCTTAAAAAATGCAGTTACAGAAAGCTCTTGTAGTGCTTTGGGTTTTCAGTGGGCTTTTAAAATGTGGAAAAATAGGTCAAACATTTCCATATGACATCGCAGAGGGGTTTGTCATTAATCCCATGCAGGCTTTCAAGAAAGAGGAGGATGCAAAGCAGCTTCTCTCCGGCCTGTGGTGGACACGAGCTCCCCCCAAGCAGTGAAACTCCCCCCATTGCTGCCTGAGACAACCCAAAAGGCAGCTGCTGCTTTTATTTTTGGCACAGCATCGCTTGGAGCTCCAGCCCTTTCCTTTTCCCGAGCTGAAGGATCTCCATCCCACTTCAAACTTTACAAATCACTGTAACCAGCTCTCACTCAGCCTCCCTTTTACTTTTTACAGTCCCCAGCCACAACAGCCCATGAGGAGCATCACAGCCACGGTCACCACTAAGTCCTCCTTTCACCTTGCTCCTTTTTTTGTACACCTTCCTCTCCCTCTTTTCAGATGCTCTTGGCACAGACACCCCCAAGCAAGCGGCTGCCCCAGGCACTTCAATGTGACCCCCAGCCTCCCCGAAGCACGAGGCTTTCCGTAAAGGATGAGGCTTTCCGTAAAGGACGACCGAACACGTCAAAGCGTGGCGATGAATTCTCGCAAATAAATAGAATTGAAAACTTCCTGCCCCCCTTTCTCAGCACAGCCCTCCAACAACTCAGCCTCGCACCCAGGCGGCCGCCAGCAGCTCGGGAGCCCTTTGAAGCCTCCGAATGACAAAACCCAAGCCGCTGCCTGCAAGCCGCAGCCCCTCTCGTTCCGGTGTCAGAGCTGCATTTTCCCAGCCTGGAACAAACCACTTGAGAAGCACTTCGCAAGCACATGTTCGAGCACTCACTGCAGAGCCGCTGCGCCAGCTAGTGGGTTGTAGCACGGAGCTGGGACCGCGTCTGTCGGGGTGACAACAGCATCACAGCACCGGTGCAAGGGTCTCCTGCCTCCCATGGCACTTCTATCAACCCAAACATGAGCTGGAAGAAGGGCAGGAGGGGCTGCAGCTGCCCAAAACTCCCAGCACATCCCCATGCAGCAAGAAAGCAGCAGCCCCAAAAAAAAAAGCTCCTCCTGGGGCAGGAGGGCACGGGGATGGGGCTGATCCGGGGCACCTGGTGCTGATCCAGGGCACCTGGTGCTGCAACGCATCCCATCTGGGAGGGAAGTTGTTTTTTTTTGGGGGGGGCAAACAGTGGGGATAGTGTCTGGAGGGGGTAAAAGGGCTCCTGCCCCAAGCTGCTTCACTGTGAAGTGGTTTGGAAAAGCACCAGGGTGTCCCTTCTGTCCCCAGTAACCCCAGCTGGTCCTGTGGGTGCGCTGGGCTCAGCGCACGGGGACAGCCCCGGCTGCAGCTTCAGGGCTCCGAGAGGACACACATCGGGGGTGTGAAGCCCCCCCTGCAGCCGTGGTCCCCGGGGGGAGCAGGGGGGGGGCAGCGCACAAGTGGGGCTGTTTTGATTTGCTGAGTCAAAGGCAGCGGCCGGGAGCTGGTGCGAAATGCAAAGTGTGTTTGGGTACGGCAGCCCCGTTAAGTTCCTCGGTGGGACCAATCATTTATAGAAAATTAAGCATATTTTCAAGTGCTCTGCTGAACTGGAACCGGAGAAAGGAAAGAAAAAAAAAATGGGAAAAAAAAAAAAAAAAAAAGGAGCCAGTGCTGCTTTCTGGCACCTAAACCCTGGCCTGGAGCGAGGCTGGGGGAAGGATGGGGGGAGCCCTGTGGGGGGGACAGACAAACGGACACGAGCAACAGCCCCAGCCCATGGGGACAGGCATCCACGTGTCCCAGCGGGGAGAAGTGAGCCTGGGAAGGTGACGGGGACAGCTCTGCAGAGCTCCAGGCTGCCCGTCGCTGCCATCCGCAGGCACAACCTCCCCCAAAGCTCCCCAAAACCCCCCAAAAACCTCCCCAGAACCACAGTGATCAGAGCCTGGTGCCGGCCCCTGCCTGGCAGCACGTGAGGGATGGGGAAAATTCAGCAGCAAGTCCGGGGGGGGCAAAACGCTGAGGCTGCAACGCCCTGCACGGACGGGCAGAGCTGTCCTGATCCTTCGCTCTGCTTCGCTTTTCCCATCCCCTGAAATTAAATTTCCTCTCGCAGAAGTCCAGTGACCGCATTTTCTGCCTAGCACCAGTCCTGTAACGAGCAGCATCCCAGGATTAATGAGTCCTTTGCAGGCAGTGAATAAGTATGATTCATTATTGGCAGCAATGCCACTGTAAATGGATTTTTTGTGGTGAAAATAAATAAATAAGCCTATGCAACTGAAGGGCCGTTGATGAAGTGTGGGCCAGTTTTAATCACAGTGTAATTGCTGCCATCAGTTCTAATTATTTATAAATATTTTTATAATTGTGGAAATTAAACAATTAGACATCCTTCCTTCCCCCTTCAAAATCGAATCATTTAAAAGTTCAGGATGCGGTCTGGGGCCGGGAGCACCGAACGGACCTCGTGCACAGACCAAAAGGGAATTGTTTCACCATTCTCCTAAAACGTCTGTCCTGCAAAACGAAACAGCCACGGATCCTCCTCCACCCCTGGGAGCAGAAAGCCCCCGGCAGCCCCGAGAGAGGCCGAGGTGCCCCAGGAGTTCGTAACAAAGATTTAAGGAACGGCGGCAGAAGGAGGTCGCGCTGCTAATTCGCTCGTTACTGATCCCAGCAGATAAATCTCCGGCGTGTCGGGGAAGAAATTACCCAGAAATGCGGTATGAAAATGGATGGGTTTAGTGCCTCGATAAAAAACACACATTTCCTAGAGCTTTGGGGATGAAGGGCCCAGACCTCGTCCTTGCCCTTCCCGACCCGTCCCAGCCCCGCTCGGCCGCGGGCACCTCTTGGCTCCCCCCCCGATCCCAGTTTCTCTTCTCTCCCCTTTCCTTGCAACACCCGAGCGCATGCCCAGCACTACCAGGGGCATCAATTCCGTGCCGTTCAGTCCGTCCTAGGAGAAGTTCTCCTCTTGAAGCTTATTGCAGATTTTTATGAGCTTTCTTATGTATTTTTCTCCCTGCCCACCCGCGCAGCCCAGCAGCTGCGCAGAGAAGCAGGAGCCCCTATTCCTGGTGCCCCCCAGGACCGAAGGGCGAGCTCCATGGTGAGCCCCAAACACCCCAAAGGCAGCGCCCGGACCTGGTCCCCATCCTTGGGGCTGGCTGCTGGTGACATTTCCAGGCTGTGTGCTGCAGGGCTGAGGGATGCTGCCTTCCCTCCCCTGGTCGTGCAGGGGATGCTGCTCCTGCAGCCTCCCAGCCGGCGGGACCCAAAGCGCATTTAATGAGGCTTTAAAATCGATAGCACGGCTGCGGGAGGCATTTCCCACTGCTGGAGGATTGCCGGTGCTGTGCTGCCACCGGGATCCACCTCCTTCCCCCTCTGCTCATTAATGTCAGCTGTAACGAGCCTGGCATTTCCCATCCTAGCAGCACCTCGGGCAGGAAGGAGCCTGGGAGATGCGACGGGGCCGGGGTGCGCACGCTGCGGTGCCGTGGTCCCCTCCTGGCTGACACAAGGCACGGTGTGGCTCGGGGACACCGCCGGGGGCTCGGTGCTACCCAGACCCAGCAGGACCGCGGGGAGCCGCAGCCCCCTGCCCAGCTGCTCGTGGGGCACAGGAGGGGGCTCCCCGGGGAGCGGGGGCTGCCATCTGCTCGGGATTGCAGGCTCTGCGGGCTGTCACGGCTGTGCCGCGTCTGGAGGCAGCCAAGTGACAGCCAAGGTCACCGTCCCGCGAGTGGGAGCTGTCGCTCCGCGTTAGGGCCTGGATTTCACCCTCCGTGGCACCAATTCTCGGTGTGAGCCATGCAGGGAGAGCTGCCGGTGAGCTGGCACGGGGACCTGGTGGCTGTGGGCATGGGGAAGGGCTCGGGTGTCCCCCAGCCACCGCGGTGCCTGTCCCTTGTGCCGCACGATGTGGTGGGGACAGGAGGGCAGGGAGCAAAACGGGGCCTGGTGGCTGCAGCTTGGGGACGGGCACAGCTCGGGGCACGTGGTGGTGACCTGAGCCGCAGGAACCGAGCGGCGCCTTCATTAATTCAAGGCATGGGTTGGGTTACCGGGGGCCCCGGGGTGTCCGGTTTCTGCAGGCACCAGCTCCAAGCACTGGCAGAGCCCAGACACCGGGTGCCGTGGGTGTCCTCGTCCCTTCCTTGTGGCAGGGGGGTCACCGGGGAGACCCCGGCACGAGGCGCTGCGGAAGCACCCACGCACCGACGCGATGCGCAACCACCACGCGGCAGCCACGGGCTCCCAAAGTAAAAGCCAATTTATTGTATAAAGTAAGAACATGAAAGGTCCCTTAAACAAAACACACATTGGGTCAGACGGTCCCGGGGGTGCCCCCACCCAGGCGTGCAAGCAGCCACCCGGGGGTGCCCCCGGGGGCTCGGTCCGGTTCCCCCCAGCCCCTTTCCTCCGCCATGGGGAGGGGGCAGTGGCCGCACGGGCTGGGGCTGGGCCGGGGGCGTTTGTGCGTCACGGGGCTGCGCTGGGGATGTAGGCACTTGTGGGAGGGTGCGGGCACCGCTCCCTCCGCCAGCCCTGGATGCGGGAGGGATGGGAACGGAGTGGGGACCCCGAACCCTGCCTGCCCCCAGCCAGGGCCAGGATCCAGCAATAAAAAGCCCCCGCTGCTCCGGGGCGGGTGCTGCCAGAGGATGTTGAAGCAGCTTTGGTTGGTGCTCTCGGTGAGTTAAGGCAGTTTAGCTTCAGTTGGTTTAAAAAAGGGCAAAACCAGCAAAAAAAACAGCTCTCAGGGGCCAGAAGGGTCCGGGTCTGGTCTGGCTTTGCTCCGAGGCTCCGCTTGGACCCTGCACGCCCCGAGGTGGGAGCGGAGCCCATCTCTACCTACCGAAACCAGGAACCTGCAGCCCAATCCGGGAAGTGTCAAAAAAGGGACGTTGGGGCTTTTTAGGGTGAGGGGAGGTTCAGGCTCCTGCCAGCGGCACGGGAAGCGGGGAGCAGGCGGACGAGCGGCCGCTTCGTCCCCGTCCCAGCGCCGTCACAGTGACTGGTCGCAGCCGTGTGAGTCCTTGAGTAAGAGGTGGGAGCCGCGGTGGTGGCGGTGCCACTGGGCTGGTCCCTGGGGAGCACCAAGGGGGAACCCGCTCCCCCCATGCCCTCGGCCCCCTCCATCAGCACCCACCTCCCTCGGCACGGGGCTCAGCCCGGGGCGAGCTCGTTTCCCGTTTGCATCTCGCAGAAACGCAGGCTCAGAGCGGGAGGTGCTGGTTTGACCCCCCCCCCAGCACCCATCTCCAAGCGGGGGAGCCCCCTGTGAGGGACCCCGCGCCCCTCACTGCACCCGGGAAGGGCCGGGGAGCAGCGAGGGCGGAGAGGGGAGATGGGGCCGCAGCGCCCAGCGCGAGGGACGGGAGCTGGGGGAAACCCACGCCCGCCCCTCGCTTTTCCCCACCGCTGCGTCCCCCTGTCCCCTGTCCGTCGGTCCTGCCCAGCTCGTGTCCCCCCGGGCGGGCAGCCAGGCGCCCTGTGCCGCCGGGAACATCCCTCGGGCGGCAGAGGGTAAGCCGGAGGGATTAAAACACTGATTTCATTAATGCCCCAGGGGATCTCTGCAAAGGAAATAAAAAAAGTTTGGAATGAAGTCCGAACGTCCAGGTCAGTCGGAGCCATGACCGTGCGGTGGGGGCGCGCTGGGGGTCTCCCCGCTCGCCCCGTGCTTGTTGCCCATGGCTGCAGCCGCTCGCTGTGTACCCGACCCCGGTGCTCGCATTGCTGCGGGTGGCCACAGCTGCCCCAGAACAAACCAAAACACGGCGATTTCTGCGCGGTGACAGCAGCCGGGAACAACCCCGGGGGTCCCTCACACCACGGTGCTGATGGTGGACGACTCCTCCGAGCGCCGCTGCTTGCTGGGCAAGGATTTGAGATACTCGAGGTGCCGCCGGGCGTCCTCCTGGTTCTGGCGCACGTAGTAGACCAGGTAGGAGATCACCATGGCGAACCAGCCGAACATGGTGACCAGCATGGCGATGTCCGTGGTCTTTTTGTACATGTTGCAGAAGTCCGTGTCGGCGATCACCTGCAGGAAGGCTTTGCCCACGTGCTCCTCCTGCACGGAGGAGTCGCAGACGATGCCGCCCGAGGAGCCGGCCGCCAGCTCCACCGTGCGGATCAGCTCCTGCAGCCGGCAGTCACACAGCCAAGGGTTGTTGGAGAGGTTGACCTTGGCCTTCAGGTTGCTGAAGGCGTCCTTGCTGACCGACACCAGCCTGTTGGAAGACAAGTCCAGGGAGTGCAGGTGCTCGCCCAGACCCCGGAAAGCCCCGCTCTCCACGCCGGCGATGGCGTTGTGGGACAGGTCCAGCTCCAGCAGCAGCGGCAGGTCCCGAAAGGCGTCGCGGGGCAGGAAGGGGATTCGGTTGGAGTCCAGGTAGAGCTTGTTGGTGTCGTTGGGGATGTCTTTGGGGACCTCGGTCAGCCGAGCGTTGCTGCAGCGAAAGGTCTTCAGCCCCTCCTCCTCCGAGGGGTAGCAGCCCTTGGGGAAAGCAGCGGCCGAGCGGAGGCAGGAGGCCAGGAGGAGGACGCTCTGCAGGAGCAGCCACATGGTCATGGAACGCAGGAGGAACGGCTCCACCGGAGGCATGGCGCAGAGCCGGCTTGCTCACGCGGCCACCGGCCCCTCGGCTCTTGCCCACGGTGATTTGGGCTCGAATCGGTGCATCTGGGACGGAGACAGCAAGGGCACAGCATCAGGCAGAGGCACCAAGGGGCACAAGCGCCGCTGTGCCGGCGGGGAGCATCGCGCCCGCCCCGGCACACCCAGCTGTGGGATGGGGACGGGGACGGGGACAGCCGGCACGGCTCACTCGTCCCCCTGCCATCAGCGGCTGCGCTCGGTGTTCCAGCCCAGCAGGATTAGGCCCCGTGGGGCCGAGCGACCACACGTCTCCTGCGTGCAGCAGCTGGGCTGTAACAAACGGACACGGCGCGGGCTGAGCCAGAGGCGGGGGTGAGATCCCCGCCAAGGTCACCGGCAGTGCGATCGCTGCCTGAAGGCCAACGCATCCTGCAGAGGCGGCCGGCAAGCCCTGGCTCCAGCCGAGCAGCCTCTGCAGGCAGGGCCCCTGGGGAGAGTGATGGAAGCAAGGCGCAGGCAGGAGCAGCGCAGGTTCCCCGAGCGGTGCGGGGCTGGCATGCAGGCAGGGATCTTGCTCACCAGCTCTGCTTCCAGCGCTGCCCGCCCCGGGGACGCAGGCACGCACCACGCTTTCTGTGGGGTGTTTGCTTTGGAGGGGACTGGAGCGGGCGGGTGGCCGGGCTGAGCTGTCCCCTGCCCGGTGCCACGCCAGCCCCAGGGCCGGGCTGCCCACACCACCCTGTAACCATGGTCCCCATCCAGCCCTTTATTCCGGAGGGGAAAAACGTCAGCAGGAAAGAAACAAAAACAGAAAAAGGAAATTCACAGGAGCTGAGCGTTCAGCAAGTTCCCAGGGTGGTGGCAGCAGATAAGGCCACGTCCGAGAGCGGCGAGCGCGCTGCCCCGCTTTCCCAGCCACAGGTCCCGTCTCGGCGAGGGGCTGCAGCGGCGGCACAACCCGAGCAGGATGCAGGAGCTCTCCTCTCCCAGCATCCCGTGACTGAAGCCACCAGCATGAAAGGGCTCCCCGTGGCACAGGTTGAGCAGAGCTGTGCTGTGGAGAGCCCCACGCTGTGCTGCCCTGGGCATCTCCTTGGTAGCTTGCCCCACAGCCTTGGGGGTGTCCCCTGCAGCCCCCACAGCACCCCGGGGTGCAGGGGTCCCACGTTCTCCTCCCCACCTGCGGATGAGGGACTGCAGCTCCTTGGGGCTGGGTTTCCCCGGGGGGCAGTGATGCTGTTCCCCACTGTTGGGGGGCTCAAGCTCCCCCAGAGCCAATTTGGGGCTGCTGGGGCTGTAGGGGGAGGCTGCGAGGCCTGGGATGGGGCAAGGACGGGGCTTTCTCCGCTTGCTGCTCAGCACCGTAACTCAGCTCGACTGCACCGAAACACCCCAAGGTCGCGCCAGTGCAGGGCTGGCCCCGAGCACCCCACTCCTGGCACCCCCCGAGCAGGGAGCGGGGCTCCGAGCAGCTGAAGGGCACCGGGAACCCCAGCCCCACACCGGCACCTCCGCCTGGCCGGGGGGAACAGCCCCCCAAGTCTGCCAGAAGTAACCCGGGGGGGCGAGCCCAGGGGTGGGCACTGCTGGAAACGGACCCGAACGAGCCAGGACCGGGGACCCAGGAAAGGGGGAGCCTCGTCCGCGGCACCCGGGGGCTGGAGACCCCCCCTCGGGTAGGATGCGGCTCTCCAGGGCCCCACGGGGGGCTCGGATGGCTGCGGCCACGGTGCTCCGGACCGGGCACGGCACCGAGCGCGGGCGCAACCGGCCCGGTGCAGCGCCCTGCCAGGGTGCCGGGTCCCCACCCGACCCCCCGGGGGTCGCCGCGAGCCGCGGGGACGCCCCCGAGGTGCCGGTGGGCAACCGAGGCTGGCACCAGGACCCTCGGTGCGCCCGGAGAAGCCGGGGATGCCCGGGGTTCCCCCCAACCCCGCTCCAGCGCCGGCTCCGCTCGGCACCGGGGGGGCGCGTTGCGGGCGAGGGAAGCCCCGGTAATTCCCCGGGGGACCACCCACGCCCCCCGCACCCCCGCCCCTCCACCCGCCGCCTCTCGCCTTGCCCCTCCCGGAGCCGGGGAGCACCGGGGAGCACCGGGGAGCACCGGAGAGGGGGGGTCCCGGGCCGGACTCACCTGCCGTGCGCCCCCCGCGGCGGCGGAGCGGCCCCGCGCCCCGGGCCGGAGCGGCCGCGCCCCGCGCAGCGCGGCGGGCCCGGAGCCGGCGGCGGCGGCGGCGGGGCCGGTGGGCGGGATCCACCGCCCGGGCCTCCCCGGGGCTCCCCGCCCCCGGCCCGCCCCGCCGGGGGGGCTGCACGGAGCCGGGCACCCCCGCCTCGCTCCCGGCTTCTCTCCCCGGCCGGTCCCGGGAGAGGCTGCGCCGCGGGACCCCTGCCCCGGGGGTGGGATGGAGAGGGGGGGGGACGCACCGGGGACACCCCCGAGCCCCCAGCCCGGGGCAGCCGCAGCGAACGGAGCCGCCGGGGAGCGCCGAGCCCCCCGGGTCCCTGCGTGGGAACGGCGCTGCCCCCCCGGAGGGTGATGCCCGGTGCTGGGCTGTGCCCCCCGCCGCTGCCCCCGCCTCGGGGCTGCCCCCGGCCCAGCGCCGGGGACACCGGGAATCCCCCCAAGCCCCCCCCCCACCCCCGGCGCCGTTCCTCCTCCCCCACCACGGAGCGCGACCCCTCCCGGCCGCCGCCTCCCGCGGGCACCGGCATCGCTTACCCGGGGAAACCCGAGCCGAGGCGGGCAGCGAGGCGGCCTCAGCCCGGGGGTGGGGGGGACCCGGAGCGGGCCCCCAGCCCAGCCCCGAGCTGCCCGGACCGGGGCTCTCCGGGCTGCGCTCAGGACCATGGAGAGCGGCCGCCGTTACCGGGCCCGGCCCGTTCCCGGTGCCCCGTTCCCGGCTGGGGCCGCTCCACGCGGCCGGCAGCACCGGGGCTCTCCCCGCCTGCCCCCGCGGGACACCGGGCGCCGGGGACGAGGAGAGGAGACCTTGAGAGCAAGGATGCCGGTGACCCCCCACCGGTTCTCCTTGGAGAGGCCGCTGCTCCGGTGGATAACCGGTTTACGAGGCGCCTGGCCTGCATCTGGCTGCATTAGGACAACCGAAGCTGACGGCAGGGCTGGAGCCAGGCACTCCCCGGGGACCCCCACGTTCCCCCCCGAGAGCTGCCCCGGAGCTGCCAGGCCCTGGCGGGGCCCAGGCTCCCGCCGCCGTCTCCATCTCTGGGGTTGGGATCGCAGGCAAGCCTGCGCTGGGGCATCCTCAAAGGCTGGAGGGCAGCAGGCAGGGAGAGCCTCCACCTGCCCTCAGGCTCCTCGGCTCGCTTCTCCCCACGGTTGGCCAGAGAGCGGAGCAGCCCCGAGCTCCCCAGTACCGATACTGGTGCTGCTGGAGCTGCGGCAGCACCCGGCGAGGCAGCCACCAGCTGCAGGAGCAGGGCTGGAGGGAATCACGGATGCATCCAGACCGATCCTGGGGCTGCCGGAGCTTTTGGCGAGCCCCAGCTGATGGTGGCTACGGGCTCAGCCCGAGCTCAGCCCATGGGGCTGGGGGGCACCGGGCCCTTTCCCACCCCATGGAGCCTGAAAACGCAGAGCCTGCAGTGCAGCGCGACCCCGCACGGACCCTTCCCTGCCGCAGCCAGCACCGGTGGCTAAAAATAGGCAGCACCAGCTCCCCACTGCCAATGTGCTGCTAAATATAGCCGGTACCGAGCCGGCAGCGGGACCGTGGCCGGTGGAACAGGAGGGGAGCGTGTCCCCCAACACGGGGGTGAACGGGGAAACCACGCGGGAGCAGCCCCCCTGCACGCAGGGAGCTGGCAGCCCGGGCTGTGGGTTTGGGGATGGATCCTCCTCCCCAGGGACCCTTTGTCCCCAAATTCCAGGGTTCCCTGGGTGGGTGAATCCAGGTTGGGGAGCCCGAGGAGCGGGTGCCCTCACTGCGCTCCCACCGGCAGCGAGAGAGAGGCTGCTGCTGCTGCTGCATCACCGAGAGGGATTAATATTTATGGGCGTTTAAAAATAGCCGTCGCATTGTGCTTCCCCCTCACGTGCGGAGTCAGCGGGGTGCGGGGAAGCTGCTAAATTAGATGTCACCGCGCAGAGGGAGCTGCTCAGTCAGGCAGGAGCGGGGATAAAAATAGAGCCTGCCGTGCATGCGTGGCTCCCCTGCAAAGCAGGGCCGGCTCCCGCGGGATCCCCCGCCTCCGCTCACGGCATCCCCGCACCTCGCCGCGCTGCCGCGGGCACCCCCGGGCGCCTGGGCAGGGACTGGGTTTTCCTGGCCCCTGCGGGTGCCCACAGCCCTCCGGCAGCAGCTGCCAGGGGAAGCTCCGGCTGCAGGAAGCCACCTGGTGCCTGCCAGCGGCACGATGCCAGCGCGTGGTGCTCCGGTCCCCACGGCCCTGCTGTGCCCAGCTGGCGCACGACTGCGGGGCTGGAGCCGGCTGCAGAGCTGGCACCCACTGGCTGCACCGTGATTAGGTGGGTGCACAGGGGGCCAGGTTGGTCTGCGGGACCCCTGCCCGCATCCATTCCCTGCAGACGGGCGCACGGCCACCCTCAGGCCCACAAGGACGTTGGCACCGGGTGCACAGCCGTGGGCAGAGCAGGAGAAGCCTCGATGCCTTCAGCACAAAGAGGCACCACGAACACCTCCGTGCCAGAAACGAGACCCCAAAAATTGCCTTCTCCATGTGGCCAGGGAGGGCTGGCAGCAGCCGTGCCGAGCTGGGGGGGCTCAGAGCGATCCTGGTGGAGCCGCCTGTGCCAGGCATGGGGACGGAGAGGGCACCCTGGGGGTGCCACGCTGACGGGTTCCAGGGCCGGCTGCACCCCGACGGGGGTCCCAGGGGAGCGAGGAGCAGAGCAGCTCGGGGCAGGGGCTGGCAGCACAAAGCAGCCTCGCAGCTCGGGCGCCGTGCTGCACCCTCTGCCTCTCCCCGGCAGGAGAGCTCGGCGCGGCGGCGCGCACAAAGGCTGCACAGATGGCCGCGCGCACCGAGGGGCCGCGGCGGCGCCGCGCTGCTGGCTTTGATGGCTGTGCAAACAAAGGCACGGCCAGATGGTCGCCCCGCGCTCCAGCGCAGGAATCCTGCCTCCGCTCCCAGGCCCTGACCTTGGCCGCACGCCCCGGCGGTGCCCGCTGGCACCCCGATAACGTGCCCGATGCCTCGGCTGAGGTTTCGCAGCGGGGACGCCCCCACGTCACCCTGGGGTTGGTGCTGCTGAGCATGGCACGGGGTGATTTGTGCCTTTAGGGCCACGGCTCAGGGCAGATGTGATGTGAAGCAGGGGGTGAGTGATGCTCTGATCCCCTTCCCAGCACCACGGACCCCAAAGGAGCCTCCTCGGGAGGTGGCGGAGACCCCATCCCCTGCCCGGGGAGGCGGTGGATTCACTGTCCCTGGGGGTGGTTAAAGAAAGTTGGACGTGGTGCCTGGGGATGTGGTCTAGGGGGAGATGGTGGTGGTAGGGGGACTGTTGGGCTGGATGGTTTTGGGGGGTGAAGATTCGGTGATGGTGGTGGTAGGGGGACAGTTGAACTGCACGACCTTGGGATCTTTCCCAGCCCTAACGCTTCTGTGATTTGGGGCACAGACCCCAACCCGGGAGGGCTGCCTTGGGGCTCCCACATCAGAGGGTGGCACAGGAGGAGCCAGAGGTTGGCCCAGATGATCTTACAGGTTGTTTCCAACCCAAACGATTCCCTGGAATCTTGTTGCTCATTAGAAACTCCTGGCTGAATTTTTAGGTAGACCTGTGTGGGGCCAGGAGTTGGACTCGATGGTCCTTGTGGGTCCCTTCCAGCTCGGGATATTCCATGATTCTGGGATTCCAGGATTCTGGGATTCTGAGATTCTGGGATTTTGTGATTCTGGGATTCTGGGATTCCATGATTCAGTGAGTCTGTGATTCTGTGATTCCGGGATTTTGGGATTCTGGGATTCCATGATTCTGGGATTCTGGGATTTCATGATTCTGTGACTGTGATTCCGTGATTCTGTGAGTTGGTGATTCTGGGATTTGGGGATTCTGGGACTATATGATCCTGGAATTCTGTGATTCTAGGATTCTGGGATTCCATGATTCTGTGATTCCGTGATTCTAGGATTATAGTATTCCTTGATTCTACGATTCTGTGATTCTGTGATTATGTGATCCTGGGATTCTGAGATTCTGGGATTTTGTAATTGATTCTGGGATTCCGCGGTTCTAGGATTCTGTGACTCCGTGATTCTGGGATTCCATGATTTTGTGATTCTGGGATTCCGGGATTATAGGATTCCGTGATTCCACGATTCTGTGATTATGTGATTATATGATCCTGGGATTCTAGGATTCTAGGATTCTGGGATTTTGTGATTCTGTGATTCCGTGGTTCTAGGATTCTGTGATTTCGTGACTCCATGATTCTGGGATTCTCCTTTTTTTGTGTGTGATTCTGTTTTCCTGGGATTCTGTGGCTCCATGATTCTGAGATTCTGGGATTTTGTGATTCTGGGATTCCGCGCTTCTAGGATCCCGTGACGCTGTGACTCGGTGCCCCTCGGATTCCGGTGTTTTTGTGACTCCACAACCCCGTTCCCCGTTCCCCGGTGCCCCCCCCGGCCTACAACTCCCGGCGTGCCGCGGGGCCGGGGCGGGCGGTGCCGTGGGGCCGGCCGGGAGCGCGGCGGAGAGCCCGGGCCGGGCCGGGCCGAGCCGAGCCGGGGCCGAGCCGAACCGGGCCGGGGCCGGGGCCGGAGCGGTGAGTGAGGGCCGGGCCGGGCCGGGTTTGGTTTGGTTGGGGGGGGTCTCGAGGTGAGGCCGAGCCCCCCCCCCAGTGTGCAGCGGGGGCTGGGGGGCGGCGGCTCCGGGAAACCGGGAGAAAGCGGGGGGCTGGGGGCTGCTGGGGGGGGGGTTGGGGGGGTGGGGGAGGCCCCCGGGGTCCCGCTGCTGGGCAGAGAACGGGGCTTTGTGAGGAGCTGGGCGGGGGGAGGCACCCCCGGGGGGCGGCCCTGAGTTGTGGCTGCACCGTGGCCCGAAACGGGGGGTGGGGGGAGCAGGGGTTGGGGAGGGGGGTGCAGATCCCACAGGGGGGCACAGATCCCACAGGGGTGGGCAGATCCCAAGGGGGGGCACGGATCCCACTGGATAGGGCACAGATCCCACGGGGGGAGTAGGGATCCAGAGGGGGGGGGGGGGGGCACAGATCCCACAGCAGGGCACAGATCCCGTAAGGGGGGGGCAGAGATCCCAGAGGGGTGGGCAGATCCCACTGAATAGGGCACAGATCCCACGGGGGAAGCAGGATCCGGGGGGGGGGGGCACAGATCCTACAGCAGGGCACAGATCCCACAGGATAGGGCACAGATCCCACAAGGGGGGGGCACAGATCCCAGAGCAGGAGGGGCACAGATCCCACGGGGGGGGGACAGAGATCCAGAGGGGGGCACAGATCCCGGAGCAGGAGGGGCACAGATCCCACAGGGGAGCACAGATCCCACCGGGGGGGGCACAGATCCAGCTGCTGCCGTGCCCACCCGCTCGCTCACGCTTCTGCCACCTGCACCAGCCGGGGCCTCCTCCTGATCCTTGTCCCGCTCCTGCCCCGGGTCCTGGGTTCAGGGCCTGGCAGAGCCCCCAGCGGCCCAGCTCGGGGCCACGGAGCAGCGCTGGGTAGCCCAAGGTGCCAGCACCTTCCCCTATCAGCCACCTTTACGCACAGCCAACATCGTCGAGGCACTCGATCCTCCGGTTCGGGCGAAGAAGGGTTTCAAATATTTATTTGCTGGGGAGACGGGGAGCTGCTGTTGCTGCCAGAGATAGGGATCGCAGCCCTGCCGCGGCTCCCCCGGCTCACAATGGTTTGCGTGCTGGGAGCGCTCAGGAAGATCGCCCGAGATAAGCACCCGCTGCCTTCCTCACCTCTGCGGTCCCCAGATAAAGCTCCCACACGGAGCAGGGGAACGGCTGCGGGAAGAGCCATGCCCTGCCCGGTGTCCTGGGTCCGGGGCAGGAGGTGTTTGGGCTCCCCCGGCAGCAAAAGAAGAGGTGGGGAAGGAGCTGCGCCTCGGGGTGCTGGTGGCACGGCTTTAGGTGTGATCCTCCAGCAGCTGCTGATGTGGGGTTGTTCCCCCTTCTTGTCGAAGCAGGGAGGTGCTGGCAGCCCCAAAGCGCCCTGCTCGGAGCCCCAGGACAGGTCTGGTTCTCCCAGCAAAACCCCGGGCAGCCGGGAGCTCACGAGTGACGGGTGAGCAGGCACAGAAAGGCCTGGGCAGGGAGAAAGGGCTCAGCTCCTCCATCGTGAGTGCTGGTTGTGTCCCACCGTGACTTTTTCCCTCCTTGGATGGCCACCGTCCAGCGTCAGCTCGGCCCTGACCTTCACACCCGGTCTGTCGAAACATCCCAACTTTGCTGTCCTGAACCGGCGCTGCACGGCTGGGAAAGGCAGCTCGGCTGCCAGCTGCTGCAGGGGCGGAGCTGGAGTTCCTCCCGCTTTTGTGTCTCGCCTCGGTTTGTTTTTTTTTTTGTTTTGTTTTGTTTTCTGCAGGTGAACAAATCCCTGGTGTAAAATCAGGCAGCAAACAACACGGGACCGGGGATGGGGGTAGGGATGGGAGCTTCGGCGGCGCGCTCCGCCAGCCAGGCTTGTGCAATAACGTGCGAAGCTCTGTGTGCAATCTGAAGTCAGCAAAGGGCTTGGGCAAGGGCTGCGAACACGAGGTCAGAAATGGGAAAGGTTCAGAAGTGAAATCTCTTGAAGCTGGGGAAGGCAGAGTTCGAGAAGTATGCAAAATTATCCTAATAATAGGACCTCACGCTTGCCATCGCCACAGCTGTCTCGCAAGGCTGAGTTAACCTCCCAGGCTGTTTGCACTCGCGTTTCACCACTCCAATCATTTTTACAAGCGAGGAAACTGAGGCAAAGGGAGGAGGACTGCTCCACGTACAACTTCTGAGCCTGGCCCTTTGCCACCCAGCCTCAGCTCCGCAACTGCCCTCGTTTGCAGATGGCGCCGGGTAGAAGTTGCTCCTTGTTTTTTGCCCGTCAGACTCACAGATGTCCCCAAATGGAAAGTGCACTCGATTCCTGAACATCCAGGCTGCCCCTCCGGCTGTCAGGGAGGTGGGAAGGCCCTCGGGTAACAGCATCACCTCGAGAACAGAGCTGGAGGGCCTGGAAGAGGTCCCCACCCCAGTTCCGAAGAGGAAACAATCTTTTCTTTCTCGGTGCTAATTAAACTCGGTTTTAAAGCATCCAACGAGGCCGGTCAGCATCAGGCTTCCTGCACCGCCGCGTTGCTCTGAACCTCGGCCGTGCAGCTAGCACCCCTGCACGGTTTGTCTCCATTCTCTTTGCTGCCATCTTCTAAGTACTCGAGGGCCATTCATCACATCTTTCTTGAGTGTTCTCTAGACTAAACAAACCCATTTCCTTCAAGCTGTCCTTGCAGGTCATGTTTTTCCTACACCTCTGCTCATTCTCACAGCTCTCCCCTGGACTCCCTCCAGCACTGGACAGTTTTCTAGCTGAGGCCTTACCAATATCTAGGAGAATTATTTCCTTTGTCTGGCAAGCAGCACTCCTGTTTATGCATTCCACAGCGCTGGTTGCTTTTTCTTTCTCTTTTTCCCAGTACTATGACATTTTGGACGCGTGTTATGCCTCGCCGCAGCCCCCAGATTTCCTTTAGGAGCTGCAGCAGATTAGGGACGGAGCTGCTCTCCCAGCCAGGCCTGGAGCGCTGAACTCCGGCTCCAAGTCCTGCTTCCAGACCAAGCTTCCTCATCTGGAGTGCCCAGGAGCTGCCAGGAGACGTGCCAAGAGGCTGAGCGACCTGCAGATCTGCAGGTTTTTATTCTGCAAGGGAAACAAAAGCCTTCTCCAGATGTGAACCACCTGGGCAGCAGAAGCAGGTGAGCATCCGTCAGCTCACCTGGCAGCCTCTGGTGCTGAGCCAGCGCCGGCTGAAAGTGGCAGCGAGCGTCCCAGGAGCTGCAGAGCCGAGCACGAGCCGCGTGTGAGAGCCCTGGGCAGGAGCAGGAGAGCACAGCAGCTTCTGAAACAAGCCAGGCCCAGCACTCCGTAAGGGAACTCGCAACAGCTGGTGGCGACATCCAGCGCGTAATGTTAGATCTGGCTCGGGCTCAGCCTCCTGAGACTGCGAGAGCTGGAGAGAACAGCGACTCGTTCTTCAGCAGCCTTAAATTGGAAGGGAAAACTTACAAACCAGACCAGGAGACCAGCGAGCCTGCAGAGCACGCAGAACCCTCCTGAATTATGCGAACTAACTGGGTGATCTGTCCATAAAGAGCTGCTTTGCCTTCACTCGTCAAATACTAGCGTCTGCTTTCTTAGTTTAAAGTCTGTTGAACCCAGAAACATGTAAGAAACTTCGTGAGCCGAGTGCTTCCATTATTAATACTGTGATGATGGCTTAAAAAGCACTTAAAGTATTCATCTGAGTCTTGTGAGTCTTGTCAGGGAAGGCTCGCATTGAACACTGACATCTTGGTTCCAGGAAAACGCTTCAGCGGATCACACGTAGCTTCTGTCACAGGCAGGCTCCCAAACGTTCCCAAACGTGAGCTGCTCCCAGATTCAGCCTCTCCCCTCAGAAACATCAGCGACGAGGTGCAGAGAAGTGACCCAACGCGGGATTTTTATAGCAAACAAAAATCTCAGCTTGCTTAACAGCAAGTCCCTCCACCCCCGCCGTGCTTAGCTGAGAAATTCGGACGGAGGGTTAGAGCAGTCCCGAGTCCTAACCTGATCTGCTTTAGTTTCAGGGGTGCCCAGCTGACACGGGAGCCAACATGAACGTGGGAACGGCACACAGCGAGGTGAACCCCAACACCCGCGTCATGAACAGCCGCGGCATCTGGCTGTCCTACGTCCTTGGAATCGGGCTGCTGCACGTTGTGCTCCTCAGCATCCCCTTCTTCAGCGTCCCCGTGGTTTGGACTCTGACGAACATCATCCACAACATGGTAAGGGAGCAGCGTGGTTGGTTTGGCTCCTGGGGCACGGGGAGGTAATCTCTCTGCACCAGCTGTTCTTCTGAGAGAGATCTAATCCGGCTCTTGTTGACACAGTTCCTTTCTCTCTTTCCAAAGACGTGGGGTAAGTTACTCAACCTGCAGCCCTCAGACTGCACCTTTTCCTCTAGGTCATGTATTTAAATCCAGCCTAGGCACTGATAAGACTCCAAGCACCTGGTAAGGCTGCCCAGAGGGGACACAACTGATTTGCCTGCAGAGCAAGTCCCTCTGCTGTGTCCACCTTAGCAGAGGAATAGCTGTACCAGGCTGGCATGGCAGCTTTCACTTGGGTTGATATAATCAGACTGGATTGGCCTCGTTAGAGTTAGGAAGCCAGATTAACCTTCAGCTCCTTCTGCTTAAAGTAAAAGATTTCACGCAGCGCAGTCTTGTGCTGTGCTGCCACGCAGTGACAACTTCCCCAGTGAGCAGAAGAAAACCGTGCTGTGTTTAACTGCTCACTTTTGTGCCTCTGCCATCCCATTGTTCAAATCCTAGCACGCTTGAGTCCTAGGGCTTGAGCAGACCTCTCCACAGCCACGTGCCCTCAGGTGAAAGAGGCAAAATACTTCAGAGGCGCAGCAATCAATTTTGTGTCATTTATTTTAAGTAGCATCTCAGCCCAAGAATATCCCAGAGACAAAATACACCCTTATCGGGGACCCTCGTGCTCCTATTATTCACATCTCTAGTGAAAGGAAAACACCACACCAGCTAGAGGTGCCAGGGGCTGAGTTCAGTGCGTTCTGCCTGCGTTTCATCCAGCTCCTTCCCCTGCTCTCCTCTGCCAGCTTAAACACTTGGGTCCTGGGAGCAGAAAGGAGTTAAAGCCAGCAATGGCTGTGCTTGAAAGACGTGGCTGACCGAGCCAGACGCTTGCTGCTTATCTCTAAGTTGTGTTCCACATCGAGGTTAACTTGTAATCAGAATAGTAGCAGACCCTTACTGCCTGCAGGCCTAGCAGCGCTTTTTTTAGACAGCATTTAGCATTGCTGCTGCACGGCAGAGCGAGTCCATGCTAATCTCCCAATCCGAGCGCTGTAATCCTGCAACTCCCTTCTTGCCTCATGTGCAAGAGCCGAGTTGAGAGGCCCCAGATGCAGCAGCCAAGCCTGGGACAGCCCCAGCTAGTGGCCTTCGCCCTAACTCACTGCTTCAGTAGCTGCTGTTGGAGTTTCCCAGCAATGGCAATGCGTCCCTCTAGCGGGACGGCGTGCTGCTGCAAGCTGCCTGCCCAAAACCTCTCAGCGCCGTGCTGTTGGTGCTGAAGCCGTGCCGTTCACTGTGTTGATTCCCGCTGCACGTGTGTTTGCTGCAGAGTATGTACATCTTCCTACATACCGTGAAAGGAACTCCTTTCGAGACGCCGGATCAGGGGAAGGCTCGGCTGCTCACGCACTGGGAGCAGATGGACTACGGCGTGCAGTTCACAGCGTCCCGCAAGTTCCTGACCATCATGCCCATCGTACTGTGAGTACTGCAGGGCAGCTGAGCTGCCTCGGGTCCTGTGCTGGGCGGCGCTCCTGCTGCCCGTGCTGTCTGGGGAAACAGAAAGCACGAAGCGGTGTTAATTCCTCGTTTTGTTCCCTGCCTTTCCAGGTATTTTCTAACCAGCTTTTACACAAAGTATGACCGGATACACTTCGTAATCAACACCATCTCCCTAATGAGCGTCCTGATCCCCAAGCTGCCTCAGTTTCACGGAGTCCGGATCTTTGGGATCAACAAGTACTGAACTGCGTAGACGGAGCGCGTGGAAGAGGAGCAGAGGCGAGGGGAAGTTCCTTCTCTCTTGCTCTGTTTCTTCACCCCCGTGCCCACTGGGATCTGATTTCACAGCGGCTGTTTAAATGCAGTACCCAATAGACATATACCGCATGCTGGATCCTCATGCCCAATAAATCTAAACAAGCTCCAGAGTAGAGATTAGCGCGGAGCAGGATACGTGACGCTGGATTTCTTTTATTCCAGCGTCATAAATAGATGGAGATACACTGAGACTTCGAGGTACAAAGAGGATGAGTTATGGGAAGATCATCGTCTGTCCCAGACATTGAACGGCGAGAACAGGGATGAGGGGAAAAGCTTTTAGTGCTGGTACTATTGCTGTGGTAAATGCACTTTAACATACATTTCCCTTTCTGAAGCTAGGTGCTTTAAGCGATATGTGGGGAAGTTCAAAGGGAGACAGCCAGACTTCCCCAATAGTTGATTGTTTGCGGGTTTGAGTCCCATTTTGGGGCAGGGGGGGGAACAGAACGACAGATTTGTATTTTGAAATCTTTTACGCCACTGAGAAAGGAAGTTCTTTTACTAAAAACAGTACAGGAAAGAATCACCTGCAGTTTGACAAAGCTTTCAGTTTTCTGTGGTACCATTCGCGTGGTTCAGGGAAAAGATTTACCAGCTCCTAAGCTACAGCTGAAAGTAACAACCTGTACCAGAATTTCTCTGGGTAACTTTGCTCCCGAGCCCAAACCACTAAAATTTTAAAGCACGCTGGGAGAAGCTGCCGACTGATAGGTACAGGCCAAGTGAGGGATGGACGGCTGCCTGGCATAAAAAGTGGCAATAATTGGGATTTTTCACCTCCATCAGTCTCCTTGGTCTCTTAAGTCTGCGAGCACGTTACTGAGATCTGCCAGTCCTAACTGTGGACTTCACATGCGAGCCTCCATGTGGCAAACAAGCGATGCCCGACTGCCTGGCACTCAGCGCCACGCATAAATCCTGCAGCAGCAGCCCCTGGGCCCAGGGTGACTCTGCCAAGGGTGAGGGAGCTGCAGGAGGGCGATGCTAACGAGCGGCACACTGAAGTGACCAAGAGAAGGGTGTTACGGGGCACTGAGGACAACAGATGATTTGGTATAGGAACAAAAATAAGCCTTTTCCCCCATGAAACTACCACCTGAATGAAAAAAGGTCTGCAGGTTTAGACTTCCTGGCTGAGATGCCTTTCTGCTGTTCAAGGCAATCGGTTTTTCTTTTGGGTTGCGTGCCCGATGAAATGTTTTTCCTCATGCTTCCCCTGTAAACTTACGAAAGCCTGTATTTTTTGTTGTCTTAGTGCTTATATTGTCTCACACTGACAATGGTAGAAACTTTTAAAATGTGCTGGTTTTGTTCCTGCATTAGCTAAGCCTAGCTTGAGAAGTCACAGTGGATATTGAGTTGTTCGATGGTCTGAGCACAGGACAGAGGAACTCCAAGTTCACACTTAGGATCCAGTACTACTCCATGTGTAATTTTAGGCAAGCTGCTTTACCTCTCTGTCTCAGATTAACTACCAGACTGCTGCAGAGAAGGGAGAAAACATTTAGCATACCTCAGAGGGATGCTGGAACGCATAGAGAATCATTACCTAATATGTTTGAAAAACAGAAATATTTTAAGTGAAAACGAAGCTTTCAAGAAAGTAGAAAGAAGATTTCAAGAAGGTAGAAAGAGAAGAGCCTGGCTTGATACTTGAGTGCTGTTCTCCAGAGAGAGTTTGGCAGATGTGTAGTGTACATGACCGGGGAGGGGGGTTTAAACCTTTTAACCACCACGACATAGGGACTGCTGCTTTAGTTAAGGTACTATATTCCCTAAAGCTAATGTACTCTTTAAGCTACTAGACAATGACTTTTTTGGGGAAAAAAAAAAGTGGTTTTGGAATAGAACTGTTTTGTCAATCAGCTGAGTACTTTTGAAATTAGTAAGAAATCAACAGCACCAATGCCTGGAATACTTACGGGAAGACTGCTGCCCTCAAAGGTGCAGCACCTGTTCTTAACAGGGTGGCTAAGGCTGCATCTGTAAGGCAGGCTGTGCTGCTCGGCAGATCTGAATTCCTGATAGCACACCCAACAGCCATGCCAAAGGTAAACCTCCAGAAGGAAGAACACTATTCATTTAGGTAGAATACGAGGGGGGGGAACATCAACTTTTTTTGCAACAAAAACAGTAGCTATACCACAGGTGCTTTTGCTTGAAGTATTAATTCCCTAGATGCAGACATATACTGATTATTTCTAAGTATATGTGCTTCACACAAAGGCAGGGCAGTTTGGATATTTTTAGCACAAGCACAAATTGAAGGTAGAGGATCAGCTTTCTTCAAAGTACAGCGCTGTAGTTGCATCAAGCACCTTGGCATTGTAACAGCTGAGGATCTGGGTATATGTTATTTCTGCTGTTAACTGACACTATGGACATTTGATTGCATTTTGTTAAATTAAAGGTCATCGGTAAAACAACATAGGATGCAATTCCAAACTTCTGAAAAAGGCTGTTTTTAAAGCCCAGAGTCTAAAATGTTGGGCAAAGCCTTAATTATAACAGTAAGCTTTTCTGATATACTTTATTGACACTGAAATTATTAAAATAGCCATTACACAAGTGTCCATATTTGGGGTTACATGGCAAACGATGTTCTTTCCAAGGCAGGTACAGCATTTTTTTGCCACAAAATATCTGAACTTAACTTGGACTCATACAGTTAATCCAATCAAGTGAAATATAAATAAGAACTGGAGAAATATGGGCAAAACTGAGAGCAAGAGTTGAAGAAAGAGTTCATGTTAATAATATGGTGTATGGAGTAGCTTCATTAGATTTATAGTTACTTGAACAATTATTGATCTGGTATCCTCCTTAAGATCCCATCTTAAGGGTAGGTAGAAGAATTAATCAAAAATAGAAAAGGAACCATAAAAAAAAAAAAAGCTTTGGGTACTGCTGGTCAAGCCACCTTAATGTGAGTTCTGTGGCTGGTTCCTTCCTGCCAGCGTGATGGGAGCGAGTCATACCTGACCAAATTTCTAGTTAAGTTTCTTTGTTGCAGTGGTGTGAAAGTAATGAATACAGTTCTGGGCGTCCTGGAACTCTGTATGGAAACCACTTCTGGGATATTTATTTGCTAAATTCATCTGGAAGTGAGTTCAGCGCTTGAAGGCTAATCTTGCGCACACGAAGTTAATGAACTTCGTCAAAACACTAAAAATCTTATGGGGTGAGTCATTTCTGAGAAAAGGGACATCGGAACAGCACGGACAGGAGGAGGGGTTTTTAGACATATATTTGCAGCTGGCATAGAATTGATCCAAGGGCAAAGCCTACCTTGTGTGCTGAGAGTCAGAACGGGAGCCCAAAGCCTGTCCGCTCCTTCTTTTAGGCTGTAGATTTTTCTCCAGTACCTCTGTGAAGGAGACAATTGAGCATTATTGATTTGAAACAGGATTTTGATCACATTGCACTTGACAGATTTTCCCCTTGACCTTACACTGTACATAGTAACCAGGACAAACTTCAGCTGGAGAACCAAGGTGGACTCCTTGTGTGACTGAGAAACAAAGGCTGGACAAGTAGGTACTTAAAATGCTTTTCTTTTTTTTTGTTCTGCGATGAATGCAGGAGAAAAGCTTCAGAAACCCACCACTCCAGCAGTTTACAGGCACTGGCAAGCAGCCATCCCTCCGCCTGATCTTGTGGGCAAGGCCTCCTCTAAGCCATCATTAAGACAATGCACCAATTAACGCCATGTGGAAGCCGCTGCAGCAGGGAAACAATCAAGTGCTACCAGTTGGTGAATTAGGGAATCCTGTCTTGTAATTCCTTTAACAGAGCTAACGGATGTTACAAAGTCCAACCCTTTGCAGGAAAAAAAGCCTTTAAAATAAAAACAAAAGCCTGAGGTCTAGGGCTACTTAATTCTTGAGTACTTTTTTTTTTTTTTTAATTCATTGTTTATTTTTTTTTTGTTTGTTTTAATAGAAGGTTGGTACTGGCCCTTGAAAAGGGGACAGCAGTTGGGTTACCATTGTTAACGCATTAATATTTCTTATTGTGACTTACATTGCTTTATCATTGCGCATAATGTATTTTAAGCATGCAGGAGTTTGCGTTTATGTATCCTCCTTGGATGAATTTAAGTGAGCTAAATTAGTTTTGTTTTTTTAATGGAACATTCTGACATTGTACATAGTTTTAGGGTTGTTTTGTTTTTTTTCTCCCCGTAGCCCTTCTTTTTGCTGTGGATACCGAAGTCTCATGTAGAGAACTTTCTAAAATAAAAGTGTGAATATTTTTATTACTCCTTTGTACAGCATTCTAAGAGAAACTAATAAAGTACGTATTCATGTAAAAGCTTGGACTACATTCCTTGAATTCCATGTGGGCCGGTTTTGCTTTTAAATACACAATTGGAAGCCCACCAAGCCAGGGGCTGCAGCGAAGTGAAGAGTTGGCCAAGGAGACTGGTCAATAAAAGCTGCTGAAGGCACCCCATGCCCCATGCCTCGCAGCCTGGCGTTGTCACGGGTCTACTGAGATAGCTCCCAGGCCAGAACATGTTGTTCCCCGTCCCAACGGGTCTCAATCTGAAAATCACAACCACGCCAGAGGCCTGGGAAAAAACGGGTAGCCTCCAGACAAATTATCTGCAGCTGTGGTAACGGCAGCACTGCAGAATGACTGGTCAGCAAAGTTTTTTTGGGTGAGGACTTTGCTATCTGAAGCTATTGCACACTTTGTCCTTAAAAAAAAGCTTCTTCCTTCCGGAACCAGCCAGGGAGTGGCTGCTTACCCAACTGCTGCCAGACTTCCATCACTCCAGTGGAACGAACGCAAGCTCCTGGCTGTTCCCACCACCTGCAAGGTAAGAGAAGACTTTTCGCTCCCCAAGCAGGCAGGTATGTTTTTAAAAGCTTTGTGAACAGCAGAGGGGGAGAGCAAATTGGTAGTTCTTGCTGGGTTTTATCTGGCTTTGAAGTTTCCCACTGGAATGTGTCCCGTGGGCGCTGCTGAATGCATCCCACGTTAGGCAGCCAGGACTGCTGCTTCCCCCGGCGGCGTACCCCCTTCCTGACATGACAGTAACTCCCCAAAGAATCAGACTCTCCAAGTCTATTTTTTCCAAGCCCCTGGGGTGCATTAAAGCAAGACGGAGGGAAAGAAAAGCTCCGCATGCACCCCAAATGAATGGGAGCTCTTCATCTGAGCCACGGGCAGGGATCTGTTACTGTTTAACGGGACTCGATAAAGCAGAACGCAGAAGGGAGAGAACACACCAGCACCTAGAGAAGTTTCATTTGTAAATTAAAGTTGTCTTTCCCTGTGCCATGCATACCTATACCGAAGGGCATAAGCAAAAGCGAAACTTTGGAGTTGAAACCACTGCAACAGGAGCCAGAGGCCAGTTTCTTTTCTCTCCCTCCAACACCCAGCTTTCTTCCATGGAGGAACCGGCAGCTCTGCGGGCATGTCATGGTTTGGGGGAGAAGGGGCACAGACAAAACGAACCCGAAATGCTGGGGATTGCTTGTTCCGTACCAAGGAGCTCCTATTTCCCTCGCCAGCAAGCTGTTCTCGATACTTTCACTTCCTTCACCTTAGAAAAACAGTTGTCTTGGGCTCTGTTTCGAAACAGGGCTAAGCCTTACTCATCCGGCAGGCATCGAGACCCAAGGGGAAAAACGCAGAAGCAGTACTTAAAAAGAAACTCCAAAAACAGCAAAAAAAAAAAAAAAAGAAAAGATTAAAAAAAAATAAACCTCGTGTAAGGGCAACGTATTAGAGATTCAAGTATTTAGGACCACAACAGGTGGCATAGACGGTTAAGTAGCCGTGTCTAGTTTTAGTAATGAGAATTGTTGTGCTCTGTGCTGGGTACATGCAACAGATGAGATGTCTCCAGTGTGACCAGCAGCACTGAGGCTCCATCCCGTCCCGCAGCAGCAGCAGCAAGCTGTGGTCTCGTTTCTGCAACGGCTGAAGTTACACCACAGGCAGGGATAAGCCCCACTAAGCCTAACGAGCAAGCCACAGCTGCTAATCCTCCCTCACCACGTGCTGCCCTCCAACAACCTCATGCACACTGTGTCCTTGTACTGATGCAGGCTTTGGGGGGGTCATTATCCTTAAAAATTAAGTAGTAATGCATTTTGTTACAGCCTTCTGCTTGTATTACAAGTCACTTTGCTTGTCTTGCCTATTTCCTAAGGCACAGGCACACTTCTCCCCGGTTCCAGAATTTACCAAGCCGCAGCAGAATGTTTAAAAAAGTCACCCAAAATGTGGCAAAGCAAATGGATCCAAGCGGAAACCTGGTTCCAGTTGAAAGCATCGTCGACCAAGACCATTTCAGAACCCTCTGTCTAGTTACAGGAAAAGGAAAAACCTCATTCCACCAGTTTCTTCCCTACAAACGGACAGAATATAAACTCCATGATGTGCTGCTGCCTGGAAAAGACGATGAAAGTGACGGTAAAGTCCACATTTATCATTCTTGCTTATAATTTCCATAGACAAGGCACTTGAGTCATCCCGCTTCCTCTCAGTGCCTAATTAAGGATTAATTTGTGCCTGAACCCTACCACACTGCATCTTTACTGTAGGGACGACAGCCGTAACACTGTCTGTGTAACCACGCTAACTAAAGCCTCAAATCATTTCAGAGTCCATCCCCTGCGGAGACCAGCAAGACTCGAAGCGCTTTGAAACTGCAGGAAGAGCCCATGACCAAATCGATGGATTCGTGAGCGTGGACACCAAACCCGTGCAGGTAGAACTAGGAGGGTCTGCCTCCTTCTCCAAAGAGTGGTCCATCAAGATGGAAAAAAAGGCAGTAGATGTAAAGCAACTCGAGGCACTGAGTAGAAAAAGGTAAGGCAGACACAACCGGAGAACGCGCCCTCCAGCCCCACAGTCACACTGTGATATTTGTGTTCTTGTGTACCAGGAGAAAGGGGACAAGCTGTGGCTCTAAGTAGGCTCCACTACTTCTGGCACAACTCGCATACAGAGGCACGTTTAGCTGAGATATTGCATCCTTTCTCCCCTCTAGAAAACTCAACGTGGATCACCCCTTCATTCAGCAACTACGGAAGACGCAACAGAATTTATACGTGGTTCACGAAACGTTAGAAGCCTCAGATGTTGTCAGCTATGAAGAATCCAAAGAGAAAACAGGGCAATTCGCAGCCCAGCTTTATGCCAAGATTATTGCAAAGGTTTGGTTTCTCTCCAGCTCCAGAGTGGGTCCTTCCCAGCCTCCTGCATGCCATTCGGGCCAGTAACAGATTTCTTATTCTATTTTTTAACCAACCAGGGTACCTGCATGAGGAAACAAAGCATAACCATACCCAAGGGCTGCATCCTAGCCTTCAAGGCGATCCAGGTGATCATTAAAGATGCGGCATGGGGTGAGTAACTTTGAGAACCTACCGACTCCTCCATTCGGGAAACAACGCAGCAAAAACATTTTAGAAAAATGTCATTCAGCCCCTCAGCCACCTGCAGCTCATCTGTAAGCACAAACACAATAGAAATAGCAGAAATCACGTGGGAAAGGCTCAGTACACAAGTTAAAAGGGCAACTTGGGAAAGCAAGGCTGTTTGCAGGGAGGGGTGGTAAGAAAATGAAAGCAAGGTGAAGGAAGTCTCAGCTCTACGTTTCATGAACTGCAGGGACAGCTCTTCTTGAAAAACTGGCACAGAGGACAAAAGTGGTTCTGGCTTGTTTTCTTTCCTCTTCAGAAAAGTGCCAGGGAGAAAACTGGGTGGCCAAGGCTTCGGTGGTAGCACTGGGCAGGTGTGCTCATACAGGCTAGGCAGAGGAAGGAGGGACATCCCTGATGCCTGCCACGGGATTTGAGATTTGGCTTGCTTCCCCCTGTGCTTCGTGCCTGCGTGGATCCCACGCAGAAATCCCACGTAGAAATGAGAGAGTTTAAATGAACCTTGAAATGAGCAGGCAGAAGACTGTTGGTAAGCGTGCGAATACCAGTCTGACCCACAGTCACCACATGAGATTTGAGAACTGTGATACTACTACCTTCAGACTCAAAAAAAAAAAAAAAGACCAAATCAACCAACACTACCTCTCCAGCTCTAAGTATTTTCTAAATTAGCAACTTTTTTTTTTTTTTTTTTTTTTACTGTTGCAGAAATTCATTATTTCCCAGAGAGTAAGACACCAACGTTCGCATCTGATGGTAAGCAACATACTTCAATACTTCCACTTCCACTGCTTTTACTGCATTTGGGTAAGGTGGACTCTCTCAGTTGAGTACAAACCCCATGCAGCAGTGGTTGCTGCCATTACTGCCTCCTACCTGTGCTGTGACAATTGTCCAACTCAAAACTGGGCATTACTTTCAAAAATACTCCTAGAAACGTTTCAAATTCTAAACTTAGGGATGCCGGTGAGCTTTCTGTAGGACTGCCTAATTTAAAAGAGAAACGTTTGGACACTCTTTCTGGTTTCCAGGTGTCATAGGTAGACAACTTGACGTGCTGAAGAAAGAAGTAAAGAAGAACTGCGAAATTCTCTCCCAGTTGCCTGTTAATCTGAGGAGCACGTTTTTAGGAGCCATCAAAGATGCGTTGAGAGACACTGACTTCTTTGAGGAATTGGCCCAGAAAGTAAGCAAAGTTCTTCATGCTGCCAGGATTTGTAAGTAAAGATGTCTGTTATCAGACCTCCTGTCCCAAGTGCTCTCTTGTACCACAGCTACCAACCCCAAATCCTCCACTCAGCATGAGGCTGGTCTTCATCACTGCACAGAGAAAGGAGGTCCTCAGGACAGAGCGAGCTTCTGAAATATGTCCTGAATATAGACTAGATTTATCTGATGGTATCAAAGCATTTAAATTCCATATTCTGCATTTAACTGTGAATGTTAAATGTTCAACGTTAACCTCATAAATAGCTTAAGGAGGAGAAAAAAATATTGCAGGACTTCATACACTTGCTTCTTCAGGTATATTGCAAAGAACTATCAACAGAATTGTCTCTTAAATCCTGAAATTTCTCTCTCTTATTCCCCTAGATGGAAGCGTTTTTTTATGAACCTGATAATTGTGAGCTGACAACACAGAACCCAAAGCTAAAAGACGTGCTGAGCATCTTACAGTCGTTTTCAGAAAACGAACGCCGTAACCTGGCAGGAGCAATTTACTACACTCTTGAGGCTCTCAGTGGTAAGTAAGGCTTTCTGGCTACTTTAATAGGGAAATTCAGTAGTACTAGAATATATTAAGTGCATTCCTAGCTGCAAAACTAACAAACTACAGAAAACTTACAGAGAGACTTGCAGAGAACTTACATAAAGGAATGTAAAGACGGCAAGATTACATGACAGAAACTGTAGTGCAAATTCCAAAGTTCTTTTCCCAACGCTGCCACAAAACGCAGTTTGAGCCTTTCCTCAGCCCTCAGCCTGCACTGCTGCTTGTACACAGCATTTGCTAACATCACCTGTGCACAGAGCAATGGCTTTATTCGTCTCACAGGGAGGCCACACAGTTAATTTAGTTCAAGAAGTCTGAAGAACTTCTGACCAAGCATGCATTCTGTGTGAGACTGTCACCCTTCTTACCTTACTAGTTGTCTCTGAAACAAATTGCTGGGTGTTTTGTTACATACCTCTTTTAATTCTCCAGAGCAAACAGAGATACAACGGCTATTCTTGCTAGAATCCCTGGAAATGGAGACTGTGCGACGTCAGCGTACCCTGGTGAGAGAACAGAACATACATTACTGATATCTGGCTGAAAATAAAGCGCAGGAGGGCAGGGGGCAGTGTTATGTCAGGCAAAGAAACGTTTTGATTATGGCACTAGTAGAAGTATCACAACTCGAAGTAATCCTGAAAAGAAAGGAATTAATAACTGCTTGAAACTTGGCAGGAATCAAAATACTTAACTCTGGGAAGAATCTCCCCCAAACACAAAAGTTAAGATTTCTGACAACTGTTTCACTGATAATAAGCAGTAAATTAGATCCAGCTGACTACCATTTTTCTTGAAAGCATAGTCAGAATTTGCTGGTTTCTTTAGCTCGAGATTGAAAACAACCTTTAATTTTTTTTTTTTGGACATAACTAGTTTACAGGAAATTGAACTCAATGCACGAGCATGAAAGTTTCCCAGGGTAAAAGGTCCCACACAGAAAAGTGCATTGTTTAGAGGGCCTGTAAGATGAGAAAGCACTTCACAAGTCAGGGATCACTACTTAAGAGCTTCCCAAAATTTTAACAATCCCATGTTAAGCTTTTACTTTTTCTGCTGTCGCTGCACAGGTTGAGCAATTCTTCAGCTGTATAGGAGGAGGCACGGAGGGCCGTTCTGGCGGGGATGACGTCTTGCTCCCCTTCTCGGCAAACAAAGAAGAAGAAACAACCAACGCAGTGCTCGAGACGAATGGAGTGAGGATCCAGGAGGATGGATTTGCTCTTTGCAATCAAAAAGGCTTCACGGCCCTCGAAGCCCTGTACCCGTGTCTGTATCCACTAGATCTCCTGAGTAACTCCCAGTAGGGTACACACATCCTCAGTTAGGGCTGATTTAAAGGGAGCGATTTAACAATGTAATTGAAACGCTATTACCTTAAGTCTCTTTTGAAATTTTATCCCTGTGTAGGCGAGGCACCCTTTTAAGTGTTCAGAGCTGCTCTTCCCACCCATTTCTGAGCAGACTTAAACCAACAAAGCTGCTAACAGAAGCCTGAGGCTGAATATCAAGATTAATTTTTCCCCCATATGAATGTAGAGTGCTAACTGAATAACCCACCGCCCCAGAGAGTCCCAATCCTGTCAGCCGTACTGCACGTGATCACTTTTAATGGAAGAAATAATAATAATAATCAAAAAGGTACAGAGATATACCTGCAATAATTCACAAATACTTGAAGGTGAAGGCCTCGGCGCATTTCCATCCCTGTGCGACCGCGGGGAGCCCGGGGACCTCAGGGCATTTTGGTGACCCCACAACAACACCCCCCAAGTGGTAGTGAAGCATTAAGGGCTGCAAGGATGGTTAGAGAAATGGAGTACGTCTCGAGTGAGGACAGGCTGAAAGAACCAGGCCTGTTTAGCCTGGGAAGGAGAAGGCTGAGGGGAGAGCTCGTTAATGTGTTAATGGTGTCGAGAGGATGCAGCTGGTCTCTTGTCAGCAACAGGACGAGAGGCGATGGGCACAAACTGAAGCACAGGAGGTTCTGGTGGAATGGGTGTGGGCACTTCTTTACTGGGAGGTGACAGAGCATCAAAATGGGTTGTCCTGAGCAGTTTTGGAGTCTCCTTCTCCAGAGATATCCAAAAACCCACCCGGGCGCCATCCTGGGCATCTCTGTGTGACCCTGCTCGGCATGGGCTTGGACTGCGTGGTCTCCTGGGGTCCCTTCCAACCTCAGGCACACTGTGATTCTGTGATTTTGTGCTTCTGTGAAATGATTAGCGCTTTAAGATAATGACACAAATGTCCTGAGTGCTGCTTAATAAAGAACGAGCCCTTATGGAACTCTGGGATGCTTGTAAACATGATTTGTGAACACTGGGGTGCTTGTAAACGTGGTTTGTGAACAAGGGGGTGTTTGTAAAGACAATTGTGAACCCGCAGGCGCCTTCAGCCACCGGGAGCTGCCCACGGGCGGCCTGGCCCCACGCAGCCCCCGGGGGAGCAGAGCCCTGAGGCGGGGGGGACCGAGGCTGAGGCGGCTCGAGGGGGCCTCGCGCCTCCCTCAGCCCCAGGGCGGGAAACGCCGTGCGCATGCGCTAAGAGACAAGCGGGAGGACCCGAGCGGCGCCCGAAAACACCCGAGCGGCGTCGGGCGGCACCCGAGCGGCGTCCGGAAACACCCGAACGGCTTCGAGGGCAGGAGCCGAGCGCGCTCGGCGCTCGACTGCTCGTGCCTGGCGTGGGGGTTCGGCTGGTCGCGCCTGGCGCCGTTCCCGGCGTGCCCCGCGCCGTGTTGCAGTGTCACGGCCGGCGCGGCCCGGCCATGAAGCAGGAGGGCGCCGCTCGCCGCCGCGGCGACAAGGCCAAGGCCCCCCCCGACGGGGGGCCACCGCCGCCGCCCCCCCCCGACGTGGAGATGCAGGAGGAGGCGGCGGGGACGGCGACGGGGGCTGGGGGGGAGGCGGGGGGGGAGAAGCAGCCCCAGAGGGAGTTGGATGCTGTGACGCTGGAGGGTGAGGGGGGTGCATGGGGGGGGGGGGAAGGGGTTAATGGGGGGGGGTTGGTGGGGAGGGGGGAGGGGTGGGGGAGAGGGGAGGGGGATGGAGAGGAAGGGGGGGGGTCCATAAGGGGGAGGGAGGGGGCGGGGGGGGGTTGGTGAGGAGGGGGGGGGCGTCAGGAGGAAGGGGGGTCCCTAAGGGGGAGGGAGGGAGGAGTGGGGGGGCCATAAGGGGTCTTTGGGGGGGTCAGGAGGGGTTTGGGGGTGTCTGCAGGGGGGAGGGGGAGGACATAGAGGGAGGAAGGGGGGGCTGGGGGGGTTGGTGGGAGAGGGGGGATAGGGAGGGAGGGGGGGGGGCGTAGGAGAGAGGAGGGTGATAGGGAGGAGGGGAGCGGGGGGGTGGGAAGGGGCCTGGGGGGATTCGGTAAGGGGGGGGAATGGGTAAGAGGAAGGGGGTCAAAAAGAGAAAAGGGGGAGAGGAGAAGGGCCTGGGGAGGGGGTCAGGAAGGAGGAAAGAAAGGGGTTGGGGGGATCCTTCCCTCCCCCAGCGCTGCTGGGAGGGGATGGAGCAGAGTTGGGGGTGCAGAAGGGAGCGAGGGGGGGGGAAGGTGAAGGGAAAGAATTGGGGGTTGTGCAATCAAAAGGACTGGGGGGGGGCAATTAGAGAGAGCGGTGCGTTTGGGGACACCCCCAGGGGATGGGCAGCGAGGGCAGGGGGAGCCGGGGGGGGTCCTGGGGGCTGGGGAGAGGCCCTGACTTGTGCCCCCCCCCCCCTGCAGACATCAAGGAGCACGTGAAGCAGCTGGAGAAAGCCGTGTCGGGGAAGGAGCCGCGCTACGTCCTGCGCGCCCTGCGGGCCCTGCCCTCCACCTCGCGCCGCCTCAACCCCAACGTGCTGCACAAAGCCATCCACGGCTTCTTCACCTCCAACAGCACCGTGAGGGATTTCCTCCTCGGCTTCCTGGAGGAGGTGAGGGGACGGGGACCTCGGTCCCAACGCGACGGAGCTCGCTACTGGCCCCGTGGGGACCTTAGGTGGAGGTTTTGGAGCTGGGGGTGGGCAGGCAGCAGGGGGCAGGGGGTGGGACAGGGGCCGGAGCCCAGCCCGTGCCTTCCCTCCGCAGCCCATGGACACGGAAGCAGAGCTGCAGTTTCGCCCGCGGACGGGGAAAGCAGCCTCAGCCCCTCTCCTGCCAGAAGTGGAGACCTACCTGCAGCTTCTGCTCGTTATTTTCCTGATGAACAGCAAGCGGTATCCGGAGGTGAGGTTCCCTCAGCTCTGTCTAAACCTGAGCCCTTCACGGGGCGCTTCTGGCCCTGCCTCACAGTCCCCTGGTTCCCTGCTGGCTTCAGCTCTGCTCGGAGGCAGCCTTTAGGGTCTGCAGCCCTGACCTGCGGCAGTCCTACAGCCCTGCCAGTCCTTCCTCTCCTCCTGGGCAGCATCTCATCTGCTCCGTTTCCCTCCTGCAGGCTCAGAAGGTGTCTGACGACCTGATGCAGAAGATCAGTACCCAAAACCGCCGGGCCCTGGACCTGGTGGTGGCCAAGTGTTACTACTACCACTCGCGTATCTACGAGTTCCTGAATAAACTCGACGTGGTCAGGAGGTAGGGCTGGCCCCGTGGGCTCTCCTTGGGTTTCTTCCTCCCCCCCCTCCCTAAAATCCTCTCCCTCCCCTGCGCTGCAGCTTCCTGCACGCCCGGCTGCGGACGGCCACGCTGCGCCACGACGCCGACGGGCAGGCCACGCTCCTCAACCTGCTGCTGAGGAATTATCTCCACTACAACCTCTACGACCAAGCGGAGAAACTCGTCTCTAAATCCGTGTTCCCCGAGCAGGCCAACAACAACGAGTGGGCCCGGTACCTCTATTACACAGGTGGGACACGCGGGGTGGTGCTGGCAGCTCCGACCCCGCAGAAAACCTCGCTGAGGCTCGGGGAGGGGGCTCCCAGGTGGGCTGTGAAGCTCGGTCTGCTCGGATTCTCTCAGTGGCTTTTCCAAACCGCCCTCAGCCCCGCGTGAACGCTCTTCCCCCCCCTCGCAGGGCGCATCAAGGCCATTCAGCTGGAGTACTCGGAGGCACGAAGGACCATGACGAACGCCCTGCGCAAGGCGCCGCAGCACACGGCCGTGGGCTTCAAGCAGACGGTGAGCGGGCACGGGGAGCGCTCAGAGTGTCCTGCGCCCCCCCCAGGCACGGGGTCTCTGCTCCCCTGGGGCCTGCGCTGGGCCCCTCGGGGACTCAGGGCTCTCTCTGGTTCTGCTCCAGGTGCACAAGCTGCTGATCGTGGTGGAGCTGCTGCTCGGGGAGATCCCGGACAGGCTGCAGTTCAGGCAGCCCTCCCTCAAGCGCTCGCTGATGCCCTATTTCCTCCTGACTCAGGGTACGACGCTCCTGCTCTGCTGTTTCAGCACCGCGTGCCCCAATTTGGGGGGAGCGGGAGGCCTCGGGGGCTCCTCACCCCTTGGTGGGAGCCAGCTGCGGGCTGCCCCGTGCCAGTCTGATGCCCCGGTCAGGTTTTGGGGGGCTTCTCCTTCCCCTCGTGAGAGGAGAGGATGGCATCAGCCCTGCCTGGTGCTCCCCGTGGTGCCCCAGCCCTCGCTGCTGCTCTCCCTTACCCCTTCTCTGCTTTCTCCCCTCTGCTCCAGCTGTCAGGACTGGAAACCTGGCCAAGTTCAACCAGGTCCTTGACCAGTTTGGGGACAAGTTCCAGGCCGACGGCACCTACACCCTGATCATTCGCTTAAGGCACAACGTCATCAAGACAGGTAAGGGTGTCCCTGGGCCAGCCGGGGGCTGCCACCGCCGTGGGGTGGTGCTCCACTGCCTGCCCCCCCCTCAGGTGTGCGCATGATCAGCCTCTCCTACTCCCGCATCTCCCTGGCCGATATCGCCCAAAAGCTGCAGCTGGACAGCCCCGAGGACGCCGAATTCATCGTGGCCAAGGTACCCGCATCCCAAATCTCACCCCAAACTTCATCCCAAACCCCTGTGGGTCTCCCAGCCAGGCTGCTCCCACCCCGTCCCCGCGGCGCTGCCTCCCTGCTCGTAGGTTGAGGGGATCCCTCCCGGGGGGGGTTTTGGGGACACCGAGGGCACCGAGTCCCCTCTCCGCACGCCGTCCTGAGCCCCCTGCTCCTGTCACAGCACCAGCTCCTTCACTCTAAGCTGCTGCCCCAGCCCTCAGAGACGGCGGGCGCCCTGACCGCGTGCCCTCCGGCTTGCAGGCCATCCGGGACGGCGTGATCGAGGCCAGCATTAACCACGAGAAGGGCTACGTCCAGTCCAAGGAGATGATCGACATCTACTCCACCCGGGAGCCCCAGCTGGCGTTCCACCAGCGCATCTCCTTCTGCCTCGACATCCACAACATGTCGGTCAAGGTGAGCCTGCTGGGCTCGTACTGGGAGGCTGTGGGAGCACTGGGAGCCCCACTGGGCGGCGCAGAGGGAGGAGACGGCTCCAGCTCAGGCTGCGATGGAGCTGGTTTGAGCGAAGGGGACAGCGGGACGCAGCCAAGGCACTTCTGGGCTCACGGCTTCTCCCTCATTCCTCCAGGCCATGAGGTTCCCCCCCAAATCCTACAACAAGGACTTGGAATCTGCAGAGGTGAGCTTGGCACCGGGGCGGGCACTGGGAGCTCTGCTGGGCTCGTGCTGGACCCAGCTCCTGTCCCCTGCCTGTCCCCACCTTTTGGCTTTTGCTTTCCAGGAGCGCCGGGAGCGCGAGCAGCAGGACCTGGAGTTCGCAAAGGAAATGGCAGAGGACGACGACGACGGCTTCCCCTGACCCCTCCGGCCTGGCTGAATTTTTTTATTTGTCCCTGGGGAAGATGCTGGCTGAGGGGAGCTGCCCCCCGTGGCCCCCCCCGGGTCCCCGCTCTGCCTTTCTTTTATAAATACCTGCATGTCTGCCCCCGGGGTGGGGGACGCGCGGCTTCCCTGGGCCCGCAGCCACTGGTCCTGCTCTCCTGTCCCCTGCCCCCCTCTGAGGGAAGCCCCTTCCCCAATAAAACGTTCTTCTAAGGTTGCTTGTGATCAGTTGTTGCGAGCCCCGGGCTCGGGAGCTCCTGGGGAAGCGGGGCCGGGGCAGGCGGGGGCAGCGGCAGCGCTCCCCGGGCACCGCGGCCGCCGCCAGCTCTTGCACCAATAACGGGGTCAGACTTTGTTAAGCTCCAATTATGACTTTTAAAATAAAAGTTGGAAAAAAAACCACCACCAACCTGCCCTGCTGCTGCCGTGGTTTGTGTCTGAAACGGCCTCGAAAGGGGCTGAGCTCCCCTATAATCCCCTGACCCAGGCAGGGCCCTGCGGACCCCAACCCGGGGAGGGGGATGATGGGGTGGGGGCCATGCAGCCACCACGGGTGTGTCCCGCCAGCATCTGGGCCCAGCTGTGCTCCTTGGGGAAAAATCGGGGAATCTCCCGGCGCACCCATGCTGGGCGGGCGGCCAGGGGCTGTGGGTCAAGCACGGGGCAGCCCCGAGGGACAGAGCCGGCCCCTATGGGGCCAACCCTGGGGTCTCTGGACCAGACCCCATCAGCCAGGATGGGGCAGGGAGGGCAAGAGGGTGGCCCTGGTCCCTCACAGCCCCCGGGGACACCCCGGCAGCGCTCACGTCCCGGTGGGTGCCAGAGAGGACCGAGGGTCCGGGGTCAGACCCCATAGAGGAAGGGTGGCCACGAGGCAGAACCGCGGCGATTTGTGCTGACCCCGCACCGCCGCCCACAGGGTTTCGGGTCCGGTCACCACTTCCTTCCTAAGAAAAGCCCACGAGGGGGCTTCGGGCCGTGCTGGGTGCTGATTCAACCCCACCCAAGCCAGCCCCAAATCCTGAAAGCACCGACCTGCTGAGGCAGCAGCCCCGATTTCGCGGAACAGGGCGATTCCGCAGCGACGCTGCAGCCCCTGGGTGGCTCTGGAAGGGCCCCGCTTCTCTCCAGAGCTGGGGGGAGCAAAGGCAGAGGTGGGGGGGGGGGGGGTGGAAGGAAGGATTCTTCCAGGAAATCCCACAAACGGGCTCATGCTGCTGAGGTCCTTTCACGTGGCCTGAGGGCAGAGCCCGCGCTGCTGCCGCTTCCTGGGAGGGGAAAGTCATCATTAGGCTTCAGAGTTAACACCTGCTCCTGGTGCTCACAGCTGGGCAGCATCCACCACCCCCTGGCTCCTTCCCTCAGCTGGAGGCCGGAGCAGCTCCAGGGGGGGCTCGGGGGTGTCCCCGTGGGCTGCCCCCACCCCGGCCGTACCCCCCCCCCCCAGGCCTGGTTCAGCCCTGCCCCGGGGTCACCCTGCCCAAATCCTCCCAGGCCAAGCAGGGGCCTCCCTCACCGGGCTGGGGCCCAGCTGGCACCGGCCCAGATCCTCCTGGAAGCTCTTGCGGGAACCGGCACGAGCCCAAAGCCCACGTCAGCACCGGGGGGGGGCACCGGGAGCAGCCACCCCCCCCCCCCCTCTCCCCGGGGCTGCCCTGGCAGCCGCTTCCCCGAAGAGGGGCTGGGGGGGGGGCCGGCTCTTCGCGGGGGGGGTCTGGGTGTCAGGCACAGCCGGGGGCTGGGCGCTGGGTGCTGCACGTGGGGACACCGAGCACGGCACAGCCCGGGGCACCCAGGGGTGCAGGATGCACCTCGGCCCCACACCGCCCCAACACCAGGGTGAGGGGCTCGGGCAGCATCCACAGGGGCTGGGGGCGAGCTCCACGGGACGCCGGCTACAAAAAGCCCCCGGCCACTTGCCCGCAGCGCTGGGCACGTCCAGCCCGGCCGGGTGGGTTAATGAGTGACCGCGTGGCCACCCAGCACCGAGCCAGCACCGAGCCAGCACCCTGCCACCTGCCCGCTGCCGGGGCTCAGCCGGGTGCCCACCGGCAGCACCGCGGCCCCCCGGGAAAGCCCCGGTGCGGCGAGGCGCGGGGAGCAGCCGGGAGAACCGAGCGCGAGCTTGGGATTTGCATGTTGGTGATTAAGGCAATGAGGCAATCGGCACTGTTGCCACATCGGTGTGAATCCCCCGGAGCCGTCTATAAAATGCCCTAATCGATGAGGCCGCGCAGAGCCGGGGCAGGAGCGAGCTGTGCTGGGCCGGGCTGTGCTGGCAGACAGGAGGAGACACCGAGCCGCGCACCATGTGCTGCCTCACCCGTGAGTACCCGCAGCCCCAGCACCCACTGCCCCCATGACACCCCACAGCACCCACAGCACCCACAGCACCCACAGCACCCGCTGCCCTTGAGCACCCACATGCCCAGAGCCCCCCGCGCACCCAGGGGTGGGTGGGAAGCCGCGCTCCCTTTCCCCCTCCCCAATTTACGCGTCTCCATCCCTGGGGTTCCTTTGGTGCCACCATCCATCCCCATGGGGGTCCCCGCTACCCAAAACGCCCCCGCAGGCAGCAGCGGGTCCGGGGATGCTGCCTGTGGGTGTCGGGGTGTCCCCGGGCGGTGGCTGAGCCGCTGTCCCCGCAGGGATGCTGGTGCTGGTGCTGAGCGCGCTGCTGGGCGCGCCGTGGCGGGCGCTGCACGGGGCGCCGCTGGCCGAGCTGTCGGGGGATCAGGATTTCCAGCTCTTCCTGCACAAAAACCTCGAGTTCACCCGCAAGATCAAGGGGGATGTGGCCGCGCTGCAGCGCGTGGTGGTGAGTTGCCGGCACCGCGGGGTCGCCGATAAGGTGACCTTCCCCTCCCTGGCCTTATCGGCACCGCGGGGCCAGGAGCCAGCGGCCTCCCCACGCCCCAACCTCCCCACGCCCTGGTCTCCCCCCGCCCTGCGCCGCTTGGCCCCGCGGCACCCAAGGGGGCTCCCTGGGGGGGGGGGTTTGGGGACCTCCCCGTGCGCCGAGCGAGCAGCGGTTCCGCCTCGTCCCGTGGATGCTCAGAAAAGGGTGGGGAGGGGGTCCCGCGTCCCTTGGGGGTGTCACGGGGGTGGTGGGCTCCTCCGGCCGCCCTGACCCTGTGTCCCCCCCCCATCCGCAGTGTGACACCTTCCAGCTGTGCAAGGAGGAAGAGCTGCTGCTGGTGCAGCAGGACCTGCGCATCACGCAGGTGGCCCTGGAGCAGTGCCACCGTCCCAGCTTCCAGGCGGTGAGTGCCAGCAGCCACCCCTGCCACGGGCAGCCCTCTGAGAGGGGGGGTCAGGGCAGGGAATTTGGGGGGGTCCAGGCTTCACCGAGCACCGCTGACCCCCCCCTGCTCTGTGCCGTGCTGCCCGCAGGAGGCTTGCTTCAGCCAGATCCGCCACGGGCTCCACGCCTACCACAGCTCCCTCGCCGCTGTCCTGGAGCTGCTGCCCTCGCACGCCGGCCTGGTGGAGACGCTGCAGCTGGACGCGGCCAACCTCTCCTCCAACATCCAGCAGCAGGTGAGGGGGCACAACGAGGGGGGCTGCACCCCCAGGGTGGTGGGCATGGGGACACCGGGCTCCGGTGGGCACCAGGCACCATGCTCCAGGGCTGTTCCTGACGCCCGCGCCCCGTCCCGCCCGCAGATGGAGGACCTGGGCTTGGCCACGGTGACGTTCCCCGCCGAGGACCACGGCCCCCTCCCCGCCTTCTCCTCCCGTTTCCAGCACCAGGTCGGCGGCTTCCTCATCCTGGCCAACTTCCAGCGGTTCCTGGAGACGGCGTACCGGGCGCTGCGGCACCTCGCCCGCCTCTGACACCCGGCCCCGCGTCGCCCCGCGCTATTTATTCCCCAGCCCCAAGCGACCTACCCCGCTTATTTAATATTTATCGCTATTTAATATTTATCCAGCCGGGGAGGTTTCCCCCTTCGCCCTTCGGTCCCCGAGCAGGGCAGCCAAGCCCTGCGGTGGCAGCCGCGCACGGGTGTCTGTGCGCAGCATCGCCCTTGTTTAATATTTAAACTCAAGAGTATCTCTGCTAGGAGTTTTGGGAGCCGGGCCGAGCCTTGGCTCCTGCACCGGGAGCTGCGGTGACCCCACGGTGTCCCGCTGAGCCCAGGGAAATCCGCCTTCTTCCGCAGCCCTGCTCCGGAGCAGCACCTCCCTGCCCAGGCTGCGGGGACAGAGCTGGCGGGCGTTATTCCTATCAGGCTTCATCACCTTAATTAATTAATATTTATTAGCTGTTAGGTTAGGAGGGATGGGAGCACGGCGGTGCCACAGGGTGCTCCCCGCCCACCCGCTCTCGCAGCCTTTTCCAAGGCTTTTCCCACTTTTTTTTTTATTATTTTATTATTTTTTGGGGGGGGGGCTCTGCCCGCGCCCCCTCCACGCCACGTTTGTATTTATTGATTTCTCGCCCTTTAACTTATTCACACCACGCAGCAGCCCCCCGGGGGCCGGCGGTGGCCTCGTGCAAGCTCTCCCCGTCCCACGCGCCCGGATTTGCGTACTGGAAATTTCACAGCCCGCCCTGGGGGGGTCTCGTGAGCGGTGTATTTTGTACTGTATTTATTGCCACAGCTGGGCGAGCCCCAGAGACACACAGGCTATTTTTTTTTTTTATATATATGTGATAAGGTTGGAAATAAACTATTTTTACGCCGACATCTGCGTTGTGGTTCCCCGTCTCCTGCCCGCGTGGGACGAGTCTGCCCGGGGTGGGGGGGTTGTGACAGCTCCAAACCCGCTTATGGGGACCCTTGGGTGCTGCAGGACCCCCCCCAGCTTCAGGGGGGGACACTGGAAAGGCGGGCGGTGGGGCACAGGGAGACAAAAAGGGACAGTGTGGGGCTGCAGCCCTTGCCATGGGGAAGCCAGGCTTGGGGCTGGGGACAAAGCCCGGCCACCACCGCAGCCCCCGCAGCGCGGCGTGACCCCCCCGGGGCTGGGAAGCACCCACAGAGTGCGGGGGAGGCCGGATGCGACCCGGAGGTGGCAGCTTCCTTCCTGCATCCCGTGGAGCTGCTTGGGCAAGAGCCGATTCCTAGAAAGCGCCGCAGCCACCCGTGCCGGCAGCGCCGAGCTGGGGCCGGCGGCCGTGGCCCCGGTGGTGCCGACAGTGCCTGGGGGGGGGGAAGAGGGCTCGGGGTCCCTGCTGTGGTGGTGGCAGGGGGACCACCACAAACCCTGGAGGTGATGCGGGGGCTCAGCCAAGTCTGAGTTCCCCTCAGAGGTGCCGGGGATGCTCCTGGAGCCCTCCCAGAGCTCCCCAAGCAGCAGTGGGAAAAGGGAGGTGGGGGGCGAGGGGATGCGGATGAGGGAAGGCGGTGGTCCAGGAGAGCTGATCCAGCACCACGGCACAGCCCCAGGCGTCTCCCTCCAGCCCTGGCAACCCCCCTGCAGCCACCCCCAGCCCCTCTCCACGCAATATTTGGCCACCCCGGGCTGTCCCTGCGCTCCCCGGTGTCACCGCTTCCTCCCACCGGCCCCGTGCTCGCGTCCCGTGACCGCCCTCATCCCCGCACCACGCTCAGCCCGGCTGTGGTGGGGACGGAGCCGAGCTCCAGCTCCTGCCTGGGGTCCCTTTGGCTGCTTCCCCCCTCCTCCCAGCTTCTCCCAGTCCCAGGAAAGGGCAGGAGCGAGGCCGGGGTGCTTGGCACTGCAGCACCCTGCCCGGCGTTGCTCCTTCCTCGCCCGGGTTATCAGGGCTTACAGGAAGCCCCCTCTCCCAGCTCCAGCCCTTTCCTGGAAGGTGAAGCGCCGGGGAAGCGCCAATGCCACCCGCGGGGCTGCCACGGGCAAATATTGACAGAGGGGGGGGGAGGCCAAGAGCACCGGGCCCTGCTCTTTGCTCCGAGCTAACGGTAAAAAGCCGCCCTGGGCACACGGGTTTGGGCCAGAGGTGCCCGGGGGGGTCGGTGCCAGCTCACGCCCGAGTCAGGCCCCATGGGGAGCGGCACCGAGGGCTGGGGAAGCCGCTCCACCCGGCCCCGCATCCCGCTGTCGTGTCCTTGCTTGTATCAGGCATAATTCCAGCTCAGGGCCAGGGAGCAGGGCAGGATGCTCAGGGCGTGATGGAGAAGGATAAAGGATAAGGACTGCTTGTTCCCGCAGCCCCCAGCCGCCCCACACGGCACAGATCCACCACGGAGCGCATGGGGGTCTCCAGCTGCCTCCTCCCCACCCAGCACCAACCCAAACCTCGCTCCAGGGCCTCTCCGAGCTCTCTCCCAGCACCAGCAAAGAGCCCAGAGCCCCCAGGGCAGCTCCAGGGGCTGTGAACCCCACTAAAACTGGGTTGGAGGAGATGCAGCAGGGCTGGAGCCCCGAGGGGAAGGCAGGTGCCCGGCTCCCCTGTTCCTGCCCAGGCACCGCTTCCCCCTTTTCCCGTGAGTCAAGCAGAAAACATAAATGAAAGGAGCGGAGGCAAATGTGCCACCCCCTCAGGCCGAGGTTCCGTGACAGAGGCAGATTCAGCACCCAGGCAGCTGACCGGGGGGGGGCCGGGACAGCCCCAGCACGGAGCCGCTCCCGGCCCCCGTTACTCACTGGCCGCCCGGTGCCACGCTCCTGGTGGGAGACGCGGGGTGAACTCATGCTCACGTGGAGGAATTTCCAACAAGAATTTGCTTGCAGCTTACAGCCAGGCAGGAAAGCATCCCCGCTCCACCCAGCTGCACGACTGCAGGCAGCCCTGCACCACGAGGAGGTGGTTGCGGCACCCCAACGCCATCCCCAGCTTCCCCGGGGGCAGGGTGGGGGGGCTGAGACCCTCAGGGGCAGATCCACAGCCAGGGCAGCCCCCGGTCTCCCTTTTTTCTCTGCGAGCTCTGATTTAAACTCCCCCAGCACCCAGGGCTAGCGGGTCAGCAAAGGGGGGCACGGGGAGCCCCAGCAGCAAAGGTTGGGGGAGCACAGGGGATGGATCCTGCGCCTTCCACCCTCACCAGCGGCACCACGGGGACCTGCAGAGCCAGAGGCTGCACCTGAATCATCACTCAGCAGTGCCAGACCTCTGCTCATGAATCACCTGCACCCTGAGAGGAGCCCGACGGCTGCTTTGTGCTGCTGAAGCTGTGCTCGGTTCGGAGCTGACCTCAGCTCTTGGCTGGGGTGAGGGAAAAGAGCGAGCGCGCATCGGCCACTTGCTCTGCCCTCCCTCCAGCGAGGTCCTGCCTCAGCCTCTGCCCCCCTTCAGGCTGAGAAAACCATCGGAAAACCAGCGAGAAACGAGGCAAAGCCTGATTCTACAAAAGGAATGAATGAAATTAGAAAACGAAAACAAAAGCAGCGGGGGCGTCTCCGTCTCTGAAAGCCCAGCACGAGGATGCCGAACACGGAGGGAAGTCCCTGGTGCCACGGCAGTCCCCGCTGCCTCCAGCTCTGCCCTCAAGCTGGGCAGTGCCCAGCCCAGCCCTGTGGTGACGGGGGAACTGTTCCGGGTGTCCCAGCCCCGTGGGTTTCCCAGCAGCTGCCCTGCTGCCTCCCCTCCCGTGGGGGCACAAGGGACGGGCTCCGCTCACAGCGCCGCGATGGCCTTGGCGGCGACGCGGCGCCCCAGGGGCAGGCTGAGATCCGTGATGGCCAGGACGATCTTGGGGCTGGACATGGTGGACACTTTCACCAGTTCTGAAACCTGCAGGGGGAAAAGGAGGAACACAAATTGGCTCAGGGCAGCACGGCAGAGACGAGAGGCAGGTGGCTGGGCTCACGCCAGAGCCCCAGGGCTGGCCGAGCAGGCCGAGGAGTGCACGCTTGTGAGAACCCAAAGCTTAAATCACCATCGCCCTCCTGCTTCCCCCGGAGCCAAGGCTGGGTTGTCCCCGAGTGAAGGCAGAGCCCAGGGCTGCAGGGAGCTGGGGACAGAGCTGGAGCTCATCCCTGGTCTGTCAGCACCGAGCATGGAGCCACGGGAGCAGGGAAATGGGGGGAGAACGAACAGCAGAGCCTCGTTTGCTCAAACCAGCACCTCCAGCTACCCCCAGTGCTCTCCCCATGCCCTGAACGTGCCCTCCCGTCCCGTGGGGCAGCACCCGAGCACCCTGCGAGCGGGGAGAAGCGCCCCTGGGGTGGGACTCACCATGGTGAAAGGCATGAACTGCAGGATGCTGCCACGGCTGCCCTGCTCCAGGCAGTCCACGCACTCCTCCATGAACCACTGCACGAACTGGGTGTGGGTGCCGGCCGTCTTGGCCCCCAGGATGGAGGAGATGAGCAGGAAGAGGTTTGCTGGGGAGACAGGGCAATGAATATCAGAGGTTGTGCAGGCTCAGGGAGGTCAGGGACACGGCTGGGGTGACCCGAGGCCCCTGTGTGTCCCCGCTGGTGTCTCGGCACGGCAGGACCCACCCCATAACCAGGCCCCGTGGGCAGGATCTGGCCCCACATTACCTAGCACCCTGTTCAGGGGGTCCCTCATGCTGACGGTGTGGAGCTGGGAGGCGGACAGCGAGGTGCTCATGGAGCGATCTGTTGGGGAGGAGAACGTGCGTCAGGCTGGGGGGAGGCTGGAACAGCCCTCAGCTGTGCCAAGGTGCCCTCCTCAGCCAGCGCTGAGCCCTCGAGAGCTCCCAGCCTCCAGGCTCTGCTCCGAGCCACCCCCCAAGAGAAAAGGAGGTTGTGGGCACAGTGCTTGGTGCCCTCCACACTCAACGAGCAGCCCCTGCTTGGGCACCCCAGGGATGCGCAGGAGGCTGAGGGGCTCCGCCACCATCCCGCTCTGCCCAGGCACTTGCCCGCACACGCCAGCCCCAGGCGTGACAGAGCAGCCCGGGGGGGGGGCCCTCGCATCTCGGGATGTGTCACCGGGCCTCGCTCTTGCACAAGTCGCATTCATTCCGAGTCTGACCAAGTGCAACGACAGCCCCGAGGGGCGAGCGTGAGCGAGGCTCCGCGCGTGTGACTGTGCAAGCTGTTGAGTGTGCCTCCCCGCCGGGGGTGTCATCACGGCGGTGACTCGAGCCTGACGCTTCGCCGGGGCACGAGCGGAGTTACCGCACGGTCACGCTCGGGAGAAGCCAGCGGAGCGCTGCCCCCGGCCACGCAACGCCGGCGTGATCCGTCCCGTGCGTGCTGCCAGCTGGGTGGAGCGAGCCAGATGTTCAACAGCTGCACGGCAGCGCTGGAAGCTCGCTCTCGGGGCAGAATTTGAGCTAACAGAGAGCCAAGGCGTGACCGATGCACATCCCGGGCATGCCAAGGGGATCTGCGTGACCCGCGCTGAGAGGCACCGCTGGGTCCCCCCCTCCCCCTGCTTGGTGGCACCTCTTGCAGCGGGCTGGGAGGGTCAGGATCCTGAGCCAGCCCTGAAATGTAGCTGCTGACAATGCCAGCAGGACCCAAAGTGGGATGCTCTGAGGATGCTCACCGAAAAAAGCAAGCCCTCCCCCACTTTTCTCATGGAATCACGAGTTGTGTGGCTGCTGCAGGAAGCAGGATTTCCACATCGCTACAGCGAACAGCCCGAAAAAAAGTCCTGAATGTCACTGGAAAGAGGTGGAACCGCACCAAAAAGTTAAAAAAAGATAGTGATATAAAGGGAAAAGCCCATATTTCAACAGCGGCGAAACCAGCGAAAAACCACAGGTTATCACTGTGTTGAAAACTGGCAAACAAA